TGAAATGTGGTCGTGAACTTTAAGACAAGAAACTAGATCGGAGCAGAGACCCAGGATGTTCTCAGAATCTTCATACTTTGCGAAAGTGCGAGCTGTGAGCGAGCTGCCTCGAGCTGTTGCAGGCGATCGATGGTACGGGCGCGCCGAGATCGCCCTGTCGCGAACAGTGCCTAGAGAGCACAGCCCGAACGGCCGGGTCAGCGTGTGGCACGAAACCTGCCGTCACAAGCCGACCCCATTGCAATCGCAGCCTCCTGACTACGGCCGAACTCTGGGTGGCGGTGGCAGGGGTCACGCCGCAGCGTTCATGTGGCCGACAAACCATATCGAAGTTGCATCAGTAGTCGCCACACGAACGGCGTACGCACCTTGTGTCCGCCCGCGTATGCCCGAACTATACGAGCGGCATCGCTACCCGACGTCCAGCCACAAAGTATCACTGTATCACTGAGTATCGTACGACTAGCACCTACGCGGGGTGGCTGTCGACATCGACACAAGCACATCGACGGCACTCACGCGTCACGTTTTCAGTCGCGTATGATTCGTCGGTACTCTCGGCGTTATTGTATCAATTCACGCGGATGAAACAAACACACGCTGCGGTGGTAACGGCCGACAACAGCCGAGGACCAGCGCCACGCTATGAGAGCGAACGGCTTGAGGAGGGCATCCTAATCGGTGATAGCGCCGGCCTACCGGCGCTGAGGAGCATATACATGTTAGCGTGTAAACACCCACGCGCCGTCCGGCAAATTGGAATCGTACGTCGGCTGAAATCCTTTGATATGAAAGGATCATCCGTTCAAGAATGGATGTGTAGTCCGAGCCGCAGGGGCACGTCCAGATTCCGACCTGCCGTCGCCTGTTTCGATGTTTCGCGTTTCTCTTTCTTTATCTCGGCGTCCACATCGATGTGTTGGTCTACCACTCCAGATGCATACGTCGTCTGTTCCTCAGCTAACCTGTCCTTTCTCCGCCCCTGCTGACGCGCCTCTCCCCACTGTCCTCCCCCGTTTGAGAGGTCAGCGCTGACAAGGACAGCATCCCATCCGGTCCAAATCCGACTGTCAGCCGGGGTAATTTACCATCGGTCGCCGTTAGTTACGGTCTGGGAGGTACCGTTCACTTCGGCAACTGGCGGGCAGGCCAGGAGGCTCCAGAGGCGTGGCGGCGGCCTCGGTAGGGTGGCTTTCCTACAGCGCGGCCTGCTACTCGTCGTCCCGCCTCGAGTGCTGTATCCGCTGTGCCTGCGTGGCTATGGTTGGTTTGGTTTGCTCGATTCGGCGGGAGTCGGTCGTCGTTGTCGCCGCCCTCCCCCCCCCCCCCCCTCGCCGTTCTCGGTCGGTCCTTTGCGGACTGGCCGACGTGAATCACTACCGCCGCGCGGCTGCCGGGCCGGTCTTGCCCCGGTGGCACGAGGCAAGACGAGGACCTTGACACCACAACGCCGGACGTGACTGCTGCGTGGTCCCAGACGACCGGCGCGCCACCTGGCCGCGTGCGACCAGAAAGGTTAATTCTAGCCGGCCGCTTCTGTCGCGGCGGCAAGGGGTTGTCGTACCTCAGTGGCTGCGTCGGCGCGGCCCGGCACCTCCTGCCCCCCCCCCCCCCCCCCGCCGCCCTGCATACTTCCCTTAGCCTAAGACCCTTAAAATTCATAAGCCCCTCCCCTTAATGGAGTCCCTCGATTTGTCGGTCCCCCTCCCTGCGACATTCAGGGTCCTCAATCAGTCAAAAAGTATCTCGGTACAATCAGGCTTATGGTCACAGAAAAAGCCGTGGATGACTGTCATGTCGTCTTCGCTCCTTTTAGAGGATTCAGCGACTTCAGGTATCTGAAAGTCTACTGGAAATCTCTGGTCAATAGCTCTGAGGTAGCCATAATGTCACGAGAGAACTGGGGATGTGGAGTCATCCCGTTGGCTCAATGAAGTCAGGGAGCTCGGACACTGCGAAGAGCCATCGTCATGAACACATGGCTCTGATTGGACTTGCTTAAGGGCGCACCATGGGCTTTGAATGGTTTTATCATGGTTAATGCTCACGGTATAGCCAAAGCAGGTCGGTTGGAACCACGAGCGTGAGGGCCAGAATAAAGCCGCCGAGCCGCCGTGACGGCCAAGGGCCCCCAAGACGTTTTGTCTCTGGATTTCGTTCTTCGTGGAAACGGCATAGTGTATTTCAGGCTTAATGCAAAATATGACACATCTGAGCAAAACATTGTATGGTCCAGGTTGTTTCAATGCACCAATATTTGTTAAAGTCAGAGGAACGCAGCAACGCGTGGACCAACGACTGCGGTCCAATGCATGAGCACGGGACGTAACTGGAACAAATTGTTATCTAGTCACAACACTCTCCAGATAGCTTTATGGACCATTACGTGGCTTTTGGGCCAACGAATTGGATTAAAGTATGCCTGTCAGAACATCGAACCAGAAACTGTTCACAGCATCTCTTCGACGTCAAGCATGTTCGGGCTTGCATACTTATTTTTCCATTACAGTATGCCTATTGCTGTAGCGGGAAGTAGGTTAAAAAATCGTTTAACGATTATGCAGTCCCTAGGCCATGCGAGAGCTCAAGACACTGATGTGTAAATGTTTTCTGCCTTACAAATGCAAAGGCAGCATGCATTCCTTCTTTGTGGATAGGCCCCAGTCTTCGTCAAACACATCGCTAACTCGCGACGTCACATTCCTCCACGGAACGGCGAGTGCGTTTGTTGTGCTAATTCACATCCTAAGCAGCGCATTATGGCTCTTTACGCTGACATTATTAAACAAGGGCTTAATTTGGTACCAAATCTGAAACCCACGAAACCATTACACACACGAGATAAGCCCATGGTTTTTAAAAGGCCTTTTAGGTTTATCAAAGAAGCTGATACATTTTGCGGACAAAACGTCTTGGTTTTATCATCATGTATTGACTTGCCATTTAATGTTCGTAAATTTTATCCTATAAGATCAAATCATAACGTACTGCAAACCTGACACGAAGAGAAAACACATGATCCGAAACGACCATTCCTGCAGTGAATGCTGCCGACTATCTCGATAGATCTGACGACATTCCATGGATTTCGGTTCTGTTCGTTCTTTTTTGTGTGTTTCAGATTTGGTAGCAAGTTGGATGTCTGTCTAGAGCCCTGGAATCGATACATGATGATTTCACGAAGAGGACTATTTAAATATCAAGATAGTAGACATAACACAATCAGTTTTCATGAGTTCTCACACAGAAAAGTCCCATGATTTTGTTGAGCCAATAATTGATGGAATTCGTCTTCCAGGTCGCACGAAATTTACAAGCCCATGAAAATAAGTAAAAGAGCAAACAACACGTCCTGGAATGTGATCTGGCGTGAATGAATGAAAGTTCATTCGGTCGCTCACTGACAATGTCGGAATAAACATGTTGCCGGCACGTCAGGGAACGTGCTGGCAACAACGTGCGTGCCTCCTCTTGCTGCCATGTTCACGCTGTGAACAAGTGTTTGCATGAATTTCCGTACGATTATTTTGGAAAATATGCGTAATTAAGGACAATGTAATGATGACAAAATGGTACGTGACATTAAGCGACCGTCCCATGCAGTGTTTTGAACCGCCTAAACTACGTATTAAATAAGAAATTTTTCGACGAGAAATTTATTTGAAGACCTCACTTTTCAGGCAGTTGCAGGCAGATGGAATAAATGACATTAATCTGAACCTTTCAGTTTTGAGAGTGGTGAAAACAGGAATATCCTCTCTCTGCATTTGATTCATACCACGCGTCAAACCAATAACTTCATGCGCGCATGGTCTTCAAGTGATACAAGTAAATTCGGTCAGAGATGATAACGGGAGTGCTGCGGGGAATGTTGACGATGTTTGACAAATCCGCCAGATTTCCTGTGCTAAACTGAAGATATACAGCAAGCGGATGGGAGTGTAGTTTCACCAAGTGAGAAGGGTGGAGATGGGGGGCTAAACCGTGAAAAACTATGAAGCCAATTCCAAAATTCGCCAACAAATGGGCTTTCCCCAGGTTTGGCCCATTTTTCTCGCAATGTGAGGAGGGGGGGGGGGGGGGGCTTGGAGCCCAAGTTACGGCTAAAGCCCCCAAATGAAAAAATCACACCCCTGCCCGATGAAATGATAATAAATGAACGCCACTATCTTTCGGGATTTCAACATCGTTTCAGCAAGAGAACACAATGCGTGTAGTTTTTTATGCAACGTGGTGCTAAATAAGCTTGGAAACATCGAATAAGTGAATTTATCGATAAACGAACAGCTACGCAAGGGAAGAGACCTTAATTGAGAAAACGCCTAACGCTACACGCAGAATTGATTCGTTTAAAAGGGAGTCCACAGTGGCCCGGAATGACTGCCTTAATTGCAGAATTTTGAAGCGGGCTGGTCTCCATGTTTCACACCACCCGCATGCGGCGGCCGGCGGCCGGTGGGCCGCGGCTCGAGGCGGCGCGGTCGAGCTGGTGGCGCGCTGCCGAGCTGACTGCCCGCTGCCATCTACTGAGTCGGTCGAGCTGCCGGCCCGTTGCCATCCGCTGAGTCGGTCGAGCTGGCGGCCCGTTGCCATTCGCTGAGTCGGTCGAGCTGGCGGCCCGTTGCCATCCGCTGAGTCGGTCGAACTGCTGGCTGCGATTGGTCACGGGACAGGTGGCTACGGGACGTCACGCGCGCAATGCTCCTACCAGAAACGGAGCCGTGGACTCCCAGTGTCAAAGCGTCCGCTTCCCATGGACTCCCAGTGTCATAACGTGCGCCTCCTGTGGACTCCCAGTCATAACGTCCGCCTCCCGTGGACTCCCAGAGTCATAACGTTCGCCTCCAATGGGCTCCCAGTGTCGTAATGGCCGTCTCACCATTCGAACAAACGCAACCTGAACCCCGACAGAGCATGCATGTCTGTAGACGTCCCTATGCACTGCTTGCTGTGTGTTGTAGTGCGTTGTGAGCTCACGGGCGCGCTGTGCTTTGTTACAGATTGTACGATTGGCTCGAAGGGAATTCATCTCCGGAAAAACAAGGGATGTGTCATTCAGAAGGAAAACCCTTCTCGGATTGCTTCGTTTCTACGAGGAAAACAGTGAACAGCTTGCCGAGGTGGTCTACAAAGACATCAAAAAGGTAGGAGGGTGGTTGTCTGCGATTGACCACGGAACAGGCGGCTGTGTGATGCGTCGGTCAGGCTGGGCCGTAAATGCCAAAAAGAACACGCGTCTGGGAAGTTTCTAGGTAACACATGATTGCAATGGATGCATGGGGAAAATGCATCTATTGCAATCGTAGCATAAACAGATTGGCGCCCTGCTTGAGTGGAAGGCCTGTACGATATGCATCAGTTGTTTGTGCATTTGGATATCTGCGTCCAAACTATTTTGCGAATTGCACTAAAGCTAGTTTTGTTTGTTGTTTCGCGTACAATTTAACACTCAAATTAATACTCAAATACAAATTAACACTCAGCTCATGTACTTGATTAACACTAGCAGTTGTCGGCACTTTATTATTGGGTTAAGCTGTCGGGTGAAAACGGGCACCAACAGCCGATGCGTGTCCGATTTGCTGATGCCCAAGCTTCAATAGAAAGCGTCAGCCATGACTCGAAAACACAACTCAACACGACATGAACATGACGCAGCATGAACATGAAGCAGAGCATGACGTAGCAGTGCTCCCTGCAGATATCCAGCGAAGCGGTGAAACGGTGAAAGAGATCAAGCTGATGTGTCTGTTCTTTTGTCAATCGTTCGAGAGGTTGCGCCTGCTGTGGTGATTCAATCCGCCGATGAGGGGGGGGGGGGGAGGGGGTGTCAGTCAGAGTGAAAGCGCTTATCACCTGGCTGTGACGACAGCCCAGGGCGTAACGGTGCCGCTGTGACTCTCCCACGCATTCGTGACGCGGCCGACCGGATGGCCGAGGTCACTGCGGTGCTCTAGTGTCTGGCGTGGGTATGAAGATAACAGCAATGTCTGTCTTTACACGCACCTGACCCACTAGTATGTGTAAGGTCAGACGGTCTGATCCTTTCCAGCCGCTGGAGGAGACAGTCATTTCGGAAATTACGATTCTCCTGAAAGACTGCAAGACCATGTTGGCAAATCTAGATGATTGGTCAAGAGCAAAGACGGTAAGCAATGCATATGGTAATGTGCGATCCTGTCTCGAGTCAAATCAGAGGTTATGTCTATTGTGCAGACGATGATAACTGGGGATCGCGTCACTGTTTAATGTACACAAACTGCGGCGTTTCTAAACGGTTAAGTTCGTGATTTCGCATAGTGTGAAAAATCAGACAGCAAGTACGCAATCATAGTGTGGACACCATAACACTATCACGTCATAAATTCACAGGAGTATATTGTCAAAACCCCGTTAGCACTGTTTTTGTTGCGTTGGCAAATAAAGAGCTTCGCACTGTGGCGGGGTCATAGGGAAGAAAATTGTTGCGAAAGGCTGCCAATACATCAGCGGGTGACTGTGTTTTATTTCCATATAAACGCTTCCTCATTGGTGTATATATATAAACACACACACACACACACACACATATATATATATATATCATTGTTCATATATATATATATATATATATATATATATATATATATATATATATGCATATGATTTAATATATATATCAGATCTCTCAAAATATCAAAGGGCCTTCTTGAGCAATTACTAAAAGCCTACACGTTGAAAGGTTCTTTCTGCGGGCCTGATGGACGAATGTATTTCCAGATTGAGGGTGTTGCGATGGGTTCACCTCTAGGACCTTTATTCGCTAATTTCTTTATGGGACATGTAGAAGCCGACACACTACAAAATGACGACATATGACCGGACATTTACTGCCGCTACGTAGACGATATTTTTGTGGAAGTTAGGGACATTGACCAACTAGGACGTCTCAAAAACAGCGTTGAAGATCTGGTCTAGAATCTAGTCTGGTCTAGAATTCACAAAACATCTAAGTGTGTAAAACAGAATAACCTTTGTTGACGTGACTGTTGATGGACAAGGACAGCGATTCAAAATGACTGTATGCCGAAAACAGACTAACAACGGACGGTGCTCGAATGGTGGCAGTGAGTGTTCTCGACACCACAAAACTAGTGTACAGTGAGTGTCCTCGACACTACAAAATTAGTGTCATAAGGCTCTTCACTAGACGCGCATTTAAGCACTGCTCTGATGGGACAGGACTGCATTCAGAATTGACAAGAATCAGGCAGATCTTGGTGAGCAACGGTTTTTCAAATTCTAACGTTGAAAACGACATACAACGACATGTGACAAGACACTTTGGCAGCAAACCAAAACAAGACATCCAACCAACTGTCAAACTGTATTATCAAAATCAAATGACATCTGCCCACAAACAAGATGAAAAAGCTTTACGGGAAGTTACCTCTACATGTTAAAGGCAAAACCAACCACAAAATAGACATCGTCATTTCATATCGTAAGAAGATATCTAACCTTCTTATGAGAAACAGCCTACGCAAACCCAGCAAACTTAAATGCAACAATGTGGTGTATTAATTTACATGCAATATCGAAGGCTGCAAACTTAGTTCCATACACTAACTTGGTGTGACCATAACGACACTCTCACGACGTCTGACAATGCACTTCGTGACTGGGCACCTCTGGACCACATGCGACACGGGCACGACGGGACATTGACACGACAATAACTGACAGGCAATGCTGGCATTTTACGGACGTCCAATGACAGAAGACGCCTTCAGATTTGGGAAAGTGTATTCGTTAATGAACTCGCTCCGGCCCTAAACAGAGAAACAACTTCTTGCACAACTCTTGATATACATATATATATATATATATATATATATATATATATATATATTTGATTAAAAACAATTGCTGACTCAGCATTGACGAGCTTTTTGATGCATCGTTCTAGTTTCCGGGCCTTTGATTTTGCGTCATCGCTTAGATTAAAAATGGTTCGCACAAAATTATTCATATATTCATCACTCCTTCCATTCAAACGTTTCGAGATCTTATCTCATCTTCGGAGAAAACTAAATTGCACAAGAAATAAGTTTTGAGTTTTAAAGGATGAAAAATTGTGCACTACTGTTGGAAAGCATCTTTTGGTACGGAGAACATAAATGAAGCATAAGAACATAAATGAAGCATAAGAACATAAATGAAGCATAAGAACATAAATGAAGCATAAGAACATAAATGAAGCATTATGCTTCATTTATGTTCTCCGTACCAAAAGATGTTTTCCAACAGTAGTGCACAATTTTTCATCCTTTAAAACTCAAAACTTATTTCTTGTGCAATTTAGTCTTCTCCGAAGATGAGATAAGGTCTCGAAACGTTAGAATGGAAGGGGTGATGAATATGTGAGTAATTTTGTGCGAACCATCTTTAATCTAAGCGATGACGCAAAGTCAAAGGCCCGGAAACTAGAACGATGCACCAAAAAGCTCGTCAATGCTGAGTCAGCAGTTATTTTTAATCAAACATGTATCAAAGAAAGAATTCTGCCAAAATATTCCAATATATATATATAATATATATATATATATATATATATATATATATATATATACGCACGTCTGGGCCAAACGATGACAGGAACGCGCAGAGCGATAACACTTCCATTGCTAACAACGCTGGGCCAGACATTGCTGACCGATTTGACTGCGCAGCAGAAAAGGCCACTGCTCCCGGCAGAGGTCCTTACAGGGAAGGCTTCCCACACCCAATCCATCCGACAACCTTGCCTTTACCCGGTACGGCAGCCGCTGCCTGCATTCCTGGGATTACGCCCACCAACCCAGCTACCCACTCGTTATCAGGTGTACCCAGTCGTTGACATTTTTCGGGCAAATGAGCTCAAGGCTGGTACTCGGAATCCGACGAGATTAGTCGAAGCGGCCGTTCCGGCAGCTCAGATGGTTAGAGTGTCGACATTTCTGTACACGCATCCGTGGCGGAGTGGGTTGGATCAGGTGATGTAAGAGATCAGAATGGACCATGCCAAGCATTACCGCGCGCTCTTGTTGTTCACCCGGAATGTCACGATCAGATGGTCTGGCTAGAGCTCACACGAGAAGCACTGCTTAGCGTTGGGTGCTAGTGGTGTGCCTAGAGAGGTCGCAGGGATATATTATGCATCCCTGGCGCAGGGCAGGTCATGGCGCAAACGGCTCGTTGCTAATGGTTTCACCATTTTAGTGCTGCGGGAAAGATTCCTACCGAGAGGAATGTTAATGTCAAAAATGTTAAAATGTCAATGTAAAAAGTTCTACCTCATTGCGTACACTGCTTATATTTATGTGTGGCATCAGTGGTAACATGTGCAGCTTTTATACTACAAGACTTACAGGCTTCAGCACATGTAATGAAAACTCCAACGGCTTGTACCGATACGCAACGTTATTTCTGCTACAAATACCCCTATGTGACATTGGTGCTACACGGCACAATTTATGCTAAACAAAACCTATGCCCGTCATTACCTCTCCTGGAAAAAACGTATGCAGTATTCACCTCCACGCGACATTACTTATGTTGCCTAATATCCTGACAGTGACAGTGGTGCTGTAGGGTATTGCACGCGACGTTACTTACGCGACAATATTTACTGGACGAGACGTAGCTGGTCCCGCCTGGTCCTGCCTGGTCCCAGGCGGTGCGCTGAGGGTCAGGGCAGGACAGGACAGGGCGCAGAACAGAACGGGACAGAACAGAACAGCATAGAACAGTACATGACAGGGCAGGACGAGGATGAGATAATTGAAATGACAGGGCAGGCAAGGGGACAGGGCAGAGCAAAACAGTACGGGACCGCCTCAAGATAGAGAGGACAAAGCCACCCTAGTCTTGTCTTGTTCTCTGTCCTTTCGCCGGTCCTACTCTCTCTCCGTGGTCCCTGTGCCTGTTCACGTGCTAAGCCTTCCGTCCTCCGTGCTACCTTGTTCCTTGTCGTACCCTGTGCTTCATCTTGCGTTGTCCATTGTCATAGCCCGTCCTCCGTCCTGCGTTGTCCTCGGTCCCATGCTGTCCTCCGCCCCGTCCCGTTCTCGGTCTTGCTCTGTCCAATGTCCCGCTCTTTGTCATGTACAGTGCCGTCCTGTCCCGCTTTTCTCAGTGCCGTCATCCGTCCTACCTTAGGGAGGGCCAGGCGGCAGAGCGCTCTGTCCTACCCTAGGCCCTGCCTCTTTCCAGACCTCTTGGTGCCCTGTATCTTGTCACGTTGCATGCTAGTTTGGGAAATGACATCCCGTTATACTGTTTTAGGGGCTCAGCTGTGACTGGTAGTCTCCATAAGCGCTGATCTTTGTTTGTTCAAAAAGGACAATTTGTTATATGTAGGTGTCACATTGAGTTGTACGCATCTTCACTTCCGAGCAAAACAGTTTCCCAGGATTTCAAATCTCGACAGAATTTTGGTAGTGATACGGGCATTGTAGCCCATTGCGTCTTTACGCTTCGGCCATGACGCCATGTAAGGGGTATGACTGTTTCCCCTTGCGCTCTAACCCCATCGCCCAGCCGCGAGGCGACTTGACATGGCTGACGACATGAAGCCGAGCGAACTCGCAAGCCGTCCCGGAACGGTGCTGAACGGCAGATGCCTGGACATTCAGCAGCGGCGTAGGAGCGATCTACCGATTTATGGAGGACCATTCTCCCGGGCAATCTTGCAAAGAAAGCCTCGTGACGATACGGACGATTAGTTATTCACCACGTTACACTATGATGTCGATTTGTCATGTTTTGCGTATAAGTTAAGACTTTAGGAGCTACAACCGTGGGCCGTACGGTGTGATAACCAAAGAACTAGGGTCGCAAAATGGAATGTTGCGACACCATGGATTGGTCACTTCTAGTACGATTCCGTCCGTCCCATTGCTGTCATGAGTGGGCAGCCTTCGAGATTTTGGTGAAGCTCCAACCGTAAGTGGGAGGATAGACGAACATTATTTTTGAACATGCGTTCTGTCATGTAGCACTACAGGCGAGCATAACTAATAGTAGTAGGAGCGACGACACGAAGAAGTAAAGTCCACACACATTTTTTATCAGAAGTCTGAACGGGTGTACGTTTCTGAAATATACATTTTCCCGTGCAACGCTAATATCGTCGTAATTACACCATTTTGCAGCTGCAATTGCAGCTGCAAATTGCAACTGCAGGGCTAGTTGCAGCGAAGGTAATAACCAAAGGCGAGTAATTTTTGACGAATGGGTTTATGGTGCCGCACTATTTTGCCCAAGTGCTAGCAGCAAAGGAAATGTCACGCACAAATCAAGGTTGTAGAAGCTATGTCGCGTGTGCATACGGGCTGTATAAATAACATTACGTTTAAATAAAGACTAAGCATTTTTTTTAGTCCAATCATTGACGAGTATAAGTTTTTAGGGAAGAGATTTTTTGCACTAATATCGTGCAGAATGATATGCAGGAGAAGTAATGTCGTATGTAGGTTAAGGCTGTGGTGGTTTTTGCTGACGAACTAACGCTACATAGAGCTGTTGCGTTCCCAGTTTTCTAGCTCGCACCATTTGCAGCATCGCTAACCTCGTGACGCCGTTGCTATTTGCTTTTCAGCTTGCGTATGCTATAGACAGCTCATGATTTTGTTTCATGGTCAGCAATATCGTCACGGTTCGGTGTCTATTTCATGGTCCGCAATATCGTCACGGTTCCGTGTCTATTTCATGGTCAGCCATATCGTCACGGTTCCGTGTATATTTCATGTTCAGCAATATCGTCATGGTTCCGTGTCTTTTTCATGGTCAGCAAGGTCGTCATGGTTCTGTGTCTATTTCATGGTTGGCAATATCGTTACGGTCCCCGGTCCACTTTATTGTCAGCAATATGGTCACGGTTCCGTGTCTATTTCATGGTCAGCAATATCGTCACGGTTCGTGTCTATTTCATGGTCAGCCATATCGTCACGGTTCCGTGTCTATTTTATGGTCAGCAATATCGTCACGGTTCCGTATCTATTTCATGGTCAGCAATATCGTCACGGTCCCCGGTCTATTTCATGGCCAACAATATCGTCATGGTTCCGTGTATATTTCATGTTCAGCAATATCGTCATGGTTCCGTGTCTATTTCATGGTCAGCAAGGTCGTCATGGTTCTGTGTCTATTTCATGGTTGGCAATATCGTTACGGTCCCCGGTCCACTTTATTGTCAGCAATATGGTCACGGTTCCGTGTCTATTTCATGGTCAGCCATATCGTCACGGTTCCGTGTCTATTTATGGTCAGCAATATCGTCACGGTTCCGTATCTATTTCATGGTCAGCAATATCGTCACGGTCCCCGGTCTATTTCATGGCCAACAATATCGGTTCCGTGTCTATTTTTGGTCAGCAATATCGTCACGGTTCCGTATCTATTTCATGGTCAGCAATATCGTCACGGTTCCGTGTCTATTTTATGGTCAGCAATATCGTCACGGTTCCGTGTCCATTTCATGGTCAGCAATATCGTCACGGTCCCCGGTCTATTTCATGGTCAGCAATATCGTCATGGTTCCGTGTCTATTTCATGGCCAGCAATATCGTCATGGTTCCGTGTCTATTTCATGGTTGGCAATATCGCTACGGTCCCCGGTCCACTTCATTGTCAGCAATATGGTCACGGTTCCGTGTCTATTTCATGGTCAGCAATATCGTCACGGTTCCGTGTCTATTTTATGGTCAGCAATATCGTCACGGTTCCGTATCTATTTCATGGTCAGCAATATCGTCACGGTCCCCGGTCTATTTCATGGCCAACAATATCGTCAAGGTTCCGTGTATATTTCATGTTCAGCAATATCGTCATGGTTACGTGTCTATTTCATGGTCAGCAATATCGTTATGGTTACGTGTCTATTTCATGGTCAGCAATATCGTTATGGTTCTGTGTCTTTTTTTCGGTCACAGTCGCGGCTGCGCGATGGGCCTGGCGCGTCTCGTGCGCCGTCGCGAGTTGACCGCCGTCCACACCAGCTTGGGGTCGAGGGCGTCGTGAGCGCGGCATCGCCTCAACTGACGGCGGCGGCGCGACCCGACAGGTGCGCCGCAGCCTGGCCTCGCTGCTCGACTGGCCCTACCTGCAGCCGCAGCCGCGCGGCCTGGTGCTCGTCATGTCGGCATGGAACTACCCGCTCCAGCTGGCGCTGGTACCCGTGGCCGGGGCCATCGCCGCTGGCAACTGCGTGCTCATCAAGCCGTCCGAGCTGGCACCGGCCACAGCTTCTTTCCTAGCCGAGACGCTGCCGCACTACCTGGACCGCCGCTGCTTCCCGGTGGTGTGCGGCGGCATCCCCGAGAGCCAGCGGCTGCTGCAGGAGCGCTTCGACTACATCTTCTTCACGGGCAGCGCGGCCGTGGGCAAGATCGTACGTGAGGCGGCCAATCGGCACCTGACGCCCGTCACACTCGAGCTGGGCGGCAAGAGGTGAGGAGGCGCGGCCACCGGGTGACGGCAGGCGAGGGATGGGAGGACCTGGTGAGAACGGATGAGCAGAGGTAGGGAAGCACACAGTGCATAGATAGATGCCTCGTATGATTTCTTTGTGATGCGGAAAGGGGTACTGGCATGTAGGATATCACCGATGGGGCTCACTGTCTGTCTGACAGTGAAATATGCGACTTGTGGACGAGCCATTAGCCTGGAGTACATCGCGGAAAAACGCTGTTGGGAGACGGTGTTCGAACGCATTTGCTCCGACACCCCACTCTGATACTAAGGCCGTGGACGCTGCTTCCAGCCCGGTGTACCTGGACGATTCCGTGGACATGGAGTACGCGGCACGGCGTATCCTCTGGGGCAAGGTGGTCAACCTGGGCCAGACGTGCATCGCGCCTGACTACCTGCTCTGCAGCAAGGCGACAGAGGCGGCGTTCGTGGCGCAGGCGCGCCACGTCCTGCACCAGTGGTTCGGAGCGCGGCCGGAAGAGGCCGCCTCGCTGGGCCGCATTGTCAACAGCGGACACTTCGCGTAAGCGCGCCAACCCCGAGGCGCCACTGCGGAGCGGTGTGGAGCGCACTGGTGCCGTGTGTGACATGGTCCATGTGGTCTACCGCCTGCACAAAATTATGCCACAGTGTCAGAACACTTTGCTGCAGCCTATCTTTATGGTCGGACTCGTTCTAAACTGTGTGGCTTTGGTTTTAGGTCTGTCAGCAGGCGAACTGCTGAGTCACGCTAGTCAGCCACGCGGCAGTAGCATAGCTCCGGTGTCCGCGTGCACGGCTGCTTCATTAAACACTCTACATCTTCCCGGGCAAGTGTTCATGATCGCGATGGGAACGATTGTGGTCCCCTCCGCCGTCGGGGCGGGTATTTGTGTAATCAGTGATTAAAGCGCGCACTCGCCAAACTGGCTCCATATGTTCGTCCCATCCGTTTAAGGGCCTCACACGTACTGGAGCTGGTTATGAAGCACCTCAGAGTGCATAACTTTACGCGTAATTCGCCGTGCCGCATTATCTTTTACACAGCTACTCAGACGTCCCCGCTATTTCCCGGACGCGTGACGTTCCTCTATTAAACGTGTCGGAAACTCAGCAGGATGGCGACGCTCTCAGCACTGCTATGCCATCCACTCCGCATTTACGTGATGCTCTTTACGTAAAAGTGGACAGACAGCATGGCAGCATGATAGTATGGCATAGCGGACAGACCGCATGGACAGCATGGTAGTGCGCTACCATGCTGTTCTCTCTACAGATAGGTGTTTTACCACTCCCTGTTATCATGCTATACACGCCAAAGTCACGTTTTGTTGCAATTTGTTTTGAGAAAAATCAACAGCCAAGATGTGAACGGCGAGTTAGCTATGGGATTGGACGGATCACAAGAGGGCAAGCCAGCGGCTTCTTGTCGACAAGTGGAAGGAGACATGACTTCCACCTATACGCTAGAACTTCAGGGCGCGGGAGTGTAGCTTCGTATAATTCGATGGCGGAGAGGGCTGAAAGACAAGGAATGAGTAAACGCGCCCCCAAAATACGCAAGGAACGCGTGTTTCCCTGAATTTGATCCATTTTCTTTTCAAATTTGGAGGTGCTTAAGTCCCCCAAATGCAAACGTAACCATATCCCTGTCAGAGTGTGGAATATGAACAGTGGCGGGCATCGGGCAGGCCCGTGGTAGAAACGGATAGATCACTGTTGAACGTTTGATACCTCGACAGGCGTCAGGTCAATCCATCCGGCCGGATGCGAGCATGGCGCGCCGCAGGTGACTTGCATTACCAAAAATAGGTGACTCGCTCATAGCGACCCGGCAGAGGTCATGTTTTGCTGGCGTCACGCTCGTCACGCCAGCATGAGATCCTTATCACACTAGCATTATTAGACAGTGACCTGATGTGGTGCCGAATGTAAAATGGGTGGGAAATAGGATGAGTAGGAACAAAATTCCATGTTTGTCATCAGGCCTATCCGAATAGCTGGTAACCTTTAATCTGGTGGTGTTTCTGTTTGTGTCACCATGTGCTAAATCACCTCGTCGCTTTGCAGATTTTGCCCCGTAAGACTTAACTACAAAGTGATGCGAACGTGAAATGACGAATGGGTACATGACGATGAAATAAGAAGACTCGCGCAGCAATAGTTAACGAAGATTTTGACAACCCTGACGACAAACCATCGGCTTTGTTCGTGATTATCCCATTTTTTCGTGCCTTTGGATTTGGTACCAAATTAGGACGTCTGTCGTGAAAAGTACCTCCGTCTACCGAACTGGTCTAGAGCTATTTGTATCCGCAGCACCGTCAGTATTCTTGGCATGCCTTTTACCGTCTTTGCGCGTGGTGTCATACGTGCATCTGAGTTGATAGTGTCGGACGGCCATCCAATGCATATGAGCTCACATAACAAAAAAACAAAACAAACAAAAAACAAAAAACAAAAACGCTCGTGTGATTCGTCTTTAGCAATCAATTAGCCAAACAGTCAGGCTGTAGCAGGGCTGCGGCTGTGTCGCGGACTGGTGGAACACTTCGAAACCTGCCGTAAAAAGAAAGATATTTGCGGATGTGAAATGGCTTTACTGGATTGTGGGTTCAAGGTTTTCCAGAACAGGCCATACTTAGCAGAGAATCTGATCCAGCCGCCGTGCCTGCAAAGCTGTCGGTCACATTGCTTCACAAGCACTCGTCTGCTGTGCCGCCCACTCCCGACCGGGTTCACAAGCGCTCGTCTGCTGTGCCGCCCACTCCCGACCGGGTTCACGGCTCCCCGGCCGGGTCCACAAACGCTCGTCTGCTGTGCCGCCCACTCCCCGCCCGGGTTCACGGCTCCCCGGCCGGGTTCACAAACGCTCGTCTGCTGTGCCGCCCACTCCCCGCCCGGGTTCACGGCTCCCCGGCCGGGTTCACAAACGCTCGTCTGCTGTGCCGCCCATTCCTCGGCCGGGTTCACAAGCGCTCGTCTGCTGTGTCGCCTACTCCACAGCGGGTGACGCCACTGTCGCTGACCTGGCCATCGCTCCCCAGGCGGGTGAAGAAGCTGATGGAGAGCAGCGGCACCGTGGCGCTGGGCGGCCGCTGCTTCGCCGGCGACAACTTCATCGAGCCGACGGTGCTGACGGACGTACGGGCCGACGAGCCGGTCATGCAGGAGGAGATCTTCGGCCCGCTGCTACCCATCGTCACTGTCGACTCGGTGGACGAGGCCATCGACTTCATCAACAGCCGGTGGGTGCTGTGTGGCACCACACCGCTGTCCACCGGCAGATGGCGCTTAGGCGTCCAGGGGGGCGCTGCCGTTTTGTGGTTAGATACAGTACGGCGTATTGGGGGGGGGGGGGGGGGGAGATCTGAATGTTAGTCATTTAATGGCGGTCTAGCTTTACCACAACTTTGTTAAAAAATAACATTGACCGCATGACTCTGCAAAGACAGTTGGTCGCAACTTGAGTTTGCCCGTTCCCTGCCCGTTCCGCGGCTAAGGATGCTCTTCTGTCACTGGTCTTTTAATGGCGGATTATTAAATTTGATTAGATAAGCACTAAATCCTGCTGTGAGTTTTGAACTGATTTCTTGTTGGCACCAATATCACGTCCCACCCCAAGATCAAGAAATCTATCGGCCAGCTTTGTCGTTTGCGAGCTGAAAACGACCGATGGAACCTAAATCTTCCTTGCTATTCAGAACTTAAAACGTGTTGTCGCTGTCGCAACTAATGAAGAGTAAATGTTGGATCCAATGCATTTGACAACACCCCACGGCAAGTGGATATGGACATAATTGTCACCTCGCAGAGTGGATTCATACTTGATACAGGCAAGAAAAGCATTGGATCCCTGGTGTTTCGGCGTCGTGTTGCGAGTTCTTATGCCGGTAAGAAGCCATCTTGAAGATGGAAAGCAAGACGTCATCAAGCAAAGATGATTTAACACTGAGTTTTGCCAAGAGGAGCCATGATTTCTTGATGATGTCGTTTGAGCAGGGTCTTCTGGGGTACAAAATTGCGATTTTTATCAGCAGAAGAACCGTAGTCATAACATAGATTTAGGCACACGCATCGGGTGTTATACAAAGCGCATCCCGTTCTTTTTCCAATAGTGTTTGCGTACCTGTCCAGTTGAGGACTAGGGCAAAGGATGTAAATGCGCACGTCCCCCTCGTAAACGTGCACACCAGCCGTACACTTTGTATGCCGTACGCTGCTCATAACCGTACCCCGTGATCAACCTGGTGGCAGTAACCTAGTGAAATCACGCTGTTTTGGGTAGAAATCAGCTCTAGTCGACCTCTTGTAGTCCTCCCAGCTCACCTCCAAGTGAAACCCGACTTGAAGGCATTGCTCAGTAAACTTTTTGTAAAGTTATCAGTTGTATGTGGCGTGCCAAGAGGCTGCTCACGCTATGGATGATTCGCCTGAGCCAGAAATACTGCTGGCTCACACCCTTCATTTTCTGACAATGTCTGGAAACCTCGGGCGTTTCTCATTGCCAGCGATTTGTCCGTGTGTATGAGCTGAGCTGAGCAGTGCTACGCTGCAGCCCCAGGCTGACACGTCCTGAGCCGTGTGGTTACAGCACGCCCGAGGCCCTATCACTGTACGTCTTCTCCACGAGACGACGCGTGAAGGAACGCCTGATCCAGGAGACGGCCTCCGGCACCGTCATGTGCAACGACACCATGTACCACGCCATCGGTAAGTACGCCGTCATGTGCAACGACACTATGTACCACACCATCAGTAAGTACACCGCCACGTGCAACGACACCATGTACCACACCATCAGTAAGTACGCTATCATGTGCAACGACACCATGTACTATGCCATCAGTTAGTACGCCGTCATGTGCAACGACAACATGTACCACGCCATCCAGTAAGTACGCCGTCCGCTGGCCATGTCACATCATGGTTAGCACTCAGCGTTTTGCCGGCGTGTCCGTCACACGTGTCATGTGTCGGGAAATGTTCCGTTTCCAACTGCTTCAACCAACTGTTAACATATTCCGGCTGCGTAACATCTACCTATGTTCTCATGGCCTTCTATTCGCAAGCACAGTACTTAGCTCGAATCGAATCGTGATAAAACGGCGCACATAACGGGACAGATGCACGCAGCTGCTGTTGCAGGTGTCAGTTAATAGTGATGGAAACCAGATTTACCCCTATGCCCGGAAACTAACTCATCGGTGATGAGCAATGCAATATTTACTCGCCCGCGAAGGATTTGAGTACGCGTATCACCCCCTATAGATATAGTTGAACTACCGGCAGGTAGAAGCATCTGGCAGCCCGCCATCTGAAGGGCGAATGTCCGTGCTGGCAACTGAGAAACCACTCGGTCCTACGTACAACGTGAACAGGAAGCTGTGCCGACGCAGCCCACTGAAAACACAGCCATCCTGGGATGTCACATGACTCAGCGTACAGCAATCCCTTGGTGCTTATGCGAAAGCACTCCTCTTCACGGGATTTAGTTTTACAACCCTGCGCACATCACGACCAAGTTACATGGTGACTCATCATACATCAAAACAAAGTTACATGATGACTTTTCGCACATCATGACTTATGGAAGGGGCTTCTTGTACATCATGACAATTTTTGGAGGCAATAACTATCACTCATCATTTTCCACTTCCAACGCGTCTTGGCTTTGCATAAAGACAAAACGTTTCGTTTCTTTGAAAAACTGCAAATGAATCTATCCCTTTTTATGTTGTTGTTTCAATAGCTGAAAATCAGCCGGTCATTTTTGGGTGATATCGAGTTCCCAGTCCTCTGACCCAGCTTTTGACCTGGAAGATCACATGATATTGCAAAATAAGGGCATTTTTGGTGGTCTCATGCCACAATTGACATTGAAACCATTTTTCAGGGAAATCGGAACTCGTCGCTGAAAAAAAGCGCTTAATAAATCGCTAACTTCACGGACATGGAACAATGGGAAACCCTGTGTCGATTCGGGCCCACGGTCCCATCTTCTTTAAAACGTCTGGTGAAATCCATGGGAAGAAATAAAATACACTACAATTAAAAAGCCACTATAAAAACTATGCTCCGCGCCTTTCCGATATTTGCATTCAAATTTGATGAGCCGAAGAATATCCGTGACTTAGTGATTGAGCTGGATGTGGTGTTGCATAAACTGCCCTACGTCCAGCTCAGGTTTAAAGGATACCATGCCATTGCACATACGGTAATGGGGCCTTTGTTCCTCCTTTTTGTAAAAATCCGACAGGTAGCGAACAGTGAACTTATCTTGTGTCCATCCGAACCGCATACGCCATGTTTCCACTGCTACAAATGTCACTTCCTGTGATTTCAGTTGAACAGTTGCCGTTTGGAGGCGTGGGCGTCAGCGGTATGGGTGCCTACCACGGCAAGCACTCGTTTGACACGTTCACACACTACAAGCCGGTGCTGGAGCGCAATTTTAACCCGCTGGTGGAGGCGTTCTGCTCGTGAGTAGAGTGTTATAGGCCTGCTGCTCAGATGCGTCTGTCGTGAATGAACGGCGAGAGGTGTGCTGGAGCTGCGTGACTGATTGCTTGGATCGTGACTGGCTGAATTTCCATCAGGCGCCCTGCTGCCCCTGGTCGGAATACAATTACTATAAAGGTAGACAGCTTTAAGGTCGTGGTGAGCTCGCCACCAGTTGATGGGCTTGTCCTTGGGAACGCTGTTGTCAGGCTTCCACCAGGCTGTTATGTATTTGTTTCTATATCGTCACACGATGCTTCTCAGAGTGCGATACCCGCCTTACCTGCCGATCAAAGTTGCCTTGGCCAAGCTACTCCTGAAGAATCCGGCGGTGCCAAACCTGACGCCGCTTCGGTACATGCTCACCTTTCTCCTGGGGGCAGCATTCGTCATGGTGATGCGAGCTCTCGCTCAGGTGAGTAGCTGCAAGCTCAGGTGAGTAGCTGCAAACTCAGGCGAGTCGCTGCAAACCCTTTGCCGGCAGGACTAGCGATCTGGTAACTCACTACGACACAGACTTAACGACACACCATATCTGTCACGACACCAACGGTTTTCGCCGACTCTAAAGCGATGGTTTACTGGTCAGCCTGATTGCCAGCCTGACATAGCTGTTGCGAGTGCCGCTGTCCGGTGAGATGGCCAGCGTTGTATGGCCGAAAGCCGTTGATCGTGACTGTGTTCGACTCGGGCCCAGCAGAGAGCATGCGATCTTGCTTCCGGACGATCCTCCAGTCGGCGCACGAATGCGCAACATGGGCGGGTTCACTGCCACATGCGGGTACCGACTGGGCTGCCTGCTGTCTGTGCCTACAGAGGCTCGGGTATGAGGACCAGATGCCGGACTTCATGCGCTGACCGCGGCCGTCGCAGGCTACAACGGCTCGCCACCCGCGCCTTTCACCGACTTCTGGTGGCTTCTGCAGATGAGCTGTCGACACACGGCAGTGCCGCCAGCCCCCTGTCAACCGTGTCTCTCTACGCCGGCTGAAATATGGCTACGGAGATGGGCGTGAACGGGAGATGCGGCATTGCTAAAGTGATCAGGCTGGTGCCGGCAAACATGTCCATCAAGTGGTGCAGCTGATGACATGCGATTTGACGCGCACTGCCAACTATGATTCCTGTGTTCATTAAACGATACCGGCCAGTCGAGTGTTTTGTTCATGTCCTCAGAGCCTTGCCCGTGTTCTGATGCGCTGACTTCTCACCTGTCGCACGTAGCGCACTTTTTTATAAAAGGAACACAACGTTCGTCATCACGCCCCTTCTATGGAACGCCAGCGAACGCATTGCCCATATTCGGCCATAGGCTCCACTCACACATGCTTTAACACACTTTTACAGTCACGCATACATAACGTTTGGCTCAATAACAGAACAGCAGTCCTTCGCCACTTGTCATGCTTATGCCAAGCTTTTTAAATGACGGGTGAGCGAGAATTCATGGACCCGTGCTGGTAGACTTGTTCTCGCAGCTTTGGTGTTCGTGAAATGCCTGTTAGATTCACGTGTGAATCCTTGGGCTTCATAACGCGCATGCTAAATTTGCGTGTGAAAGCATGGTGTTCATGATGTTTATGCTAGATTTGTGTGTGGAACCATGGTGCTCGTAATGTGTTTGACAAACACGGGTGGAAAATTGTGAGAAAGCGGGTGAGGAAAATGCTATAAGTGTGTGAATGTCGGTAAATGTTGATGTTGCCTCAACGAGACAAGCTGTGCTTCGCTCTCCATCCATTATGCTACATGCTGTTTTGATTTCCGACCCAGTTCAATACATTGTTTTTGCTCGAAGGGGGCGTAGAAAGATTAAGTAATTACTGTCATGCGCATGACAGTAAACGGTCATGGCGAAAAGTCCACGAAGCTTGAAAAAACGCTCCAACTTCAGAGCTTATCACAGAACAAGACCCTGCAATGCATGCGCCAATACGCGGGACTTATTCCCGGATGAGGCACAGGCAAATGGCGTTTGTAGCCATACGCCATATCATGTTTTTAGCGGCCACACATTAAAGCCCAAAAAGCAGGAACAAACTTAAAACATTACTGCATTGCCTCAGTGATCATTGTTATAATCAGTGCGTTTGGCTAGCTACTCACTTTGATTCGAAAGTTTTTTCTTTTGATTCCACGAATCTCGAACCGCCGAAATATTGTCATTTATGCGCTTTGCCCTCAACCCGAGCTATGGGATAACATCTTGCAATAATAAAAGAATCACTACGGCGTGCTTATCTGCCATAGCATTTGTGCTTCGAGGTTCTCCGCGAAATCGTATCCTAAAAACGGCGAGGAAAACAAAGAAGATATTGTTCAAAAAACAATTTTTGACAGCAATCAACTAGGTTTCCTTTGAAACAATTTGATCAAAATGTCATTTCAAATGAAACATCTGAGTACCTGATGAATTGGAGAAAACTACCCCAGTTATCCAGATGAGACAGCTTACAGAGATTCTTGCGTGGACAGCTGTGTTGATATTTTGAACTAAAGCCAGAACTACAAAAATATTAATGCCCTCTTGCGTCTTATCCTGACTTCAGTGACGTCACGCTTACCTAAAACATGGATGGAGCGAGAATCACTGACCGGTTTCGCCTCTCTCACACGGCCTTGGTCAGTCCACACAGGCGACTCTCGGGCGCTGGCGGTGGGTGTTCGTAGTCGCGCTGTCGAAGCTGTGCATATGCCGTTTGAAATGCAGGTACGTCTTATTTGTAAATAACTTATGGGTCATTGTAGTACAAGCTCTTGTTACAGATTTCCTTCGAATCAGTGGCGTCGTATTTGCGACGAACGGCCCGGTTGGGAGATTATCTGCTTAAAAAGATCCCTGGTTTGACAACAGACGTGTGGTGCAACATAGTTCTGCCAACCAGTACTTCATGACATGTTTCCATTGACGGCAGACAGCTAATGTTTGTTACTTCTAGGTCATTTACATTAATATAATTAAGCAGAAAGAGGTATACATTGGTACCTAATGTTAGAAAACAGTAATGTACATCATTCGTCATGCTTAAGGCGGAACATATCATAAATAATGATAACACAGGTAGATTCATGCTCCTACCTTCAAATTTTGATAGCTACAACAGCGAGCCCCTGAGCACCCCACACACCACACCGCCTCAAACCCTCCCCCCAGCACCATTTCTCTTGTTGCCGGGTTACAATATTACTGCATATCAATAACCACAAAAAATGTATGGGCCAAGGTAGCAATAATGATGCAATGAAATATGTTTCTTATCACGTGTTGGTGCATTTATGAGAAAGACAAGCCAGAACATAGTCTAAACTAGCCTAACCTAACCTGACCTAACCTAGCCTAACCTCCCACCCTATCTTCTTCAACCCAGTGTCCCATTGGCATCCATGTTCCATATATGTAACATATTAAGAAGTTTTGTTTTGGCCACCATATTCTCCTTTTGCTTTTCATTCCCCACCCAAAGATGTCACATTTGCCCACCATGTCAACCAATCTACAAGCAGTATGGATGTCTGTTTGGACACAGATGTCTTTTTGGATACACAAGAAACCTATTTCATTGGGTTTGTGTCACCTTGGCCAGTATATCTTTATGGTTCTTGACAGGGTAATGTTGTGATCTTATGTAGCAGTGGCGCCTGGGTGCTGCGTGTTTGAAGCGCTCGTATGTTCACTATGCTGTCATAGTTCTTTAAGTTCCAAGGTGAGACTTTAGATGACCTGTTTTATTATTAATTTATGGTATGTTCTGCCTTAAAAATGATGATTGATGTACAACGCTCTGTTTTAACATGAGGCAGCAATGTATACCATGGCCTTGAAAGATCATTAGCACTATGATGGGCACAACATCATTGACCAGAAAGCAGTTTGTGGCTATAAGCTCTCATGGGTTGGAGGCAAGGGAGTTTTGTTTTCTTATGAATGTTCTGTCAGTAATGTTCTAGATGGAATCAGTATCATTGCAAAACATATCTTAAGCCATCACTTTTCCCAGCCTGCATAGAAAAGTTAACAAAGGGTTTCCTTTATGATGTTCTACAGGCCAAGGACTTCCCTCTATTGAAGAATGATCTCCTACTGCGTGCTGCTCGTGGTCTAGAGGTGGAACGTGTTCCTGTGTGGATCATGAGACAGGCTGGTCGAACACTGCCGGGTATGTAGGCATGACACCACTTAGCAATTTTCATTGCCTTTTTCATACCAAATCATGGTTGTGTGTCTGCTACCAGTGTCCTATTGCTGTTTGCTACCAGTGTCCTAGTGCTAGTGCAAGTGCTGTTGTCGACAGATAGGTGAGTTGAGATGATGTACAACATCATCTCAACCAAAGAAGACAGAAAGACCCAAAGGTCTTTAAAACAGTGTCCTAGAATTGCCGACTTTTGGCGTAAAGCAACACCCTATGAGGAGGGATTCTCACACCTTTCTGCCATATTTTATGTGAATTTTTCACTCCTGCATGATATTGTCGTATCGCACATGCCAAACCCCTATTTCCCTTTCTGAGGTTTTCTGATGACATCCAAAACTGAGCTCACTTGAAACCAACAAGCATAAATGAGGCTCCACAGAACCTGGACACCTATGTCCTATGGTGTCCAGGTTCTGTGGAACCTCGTTTATGGCTATGGCTATGTTTTGCCTCACCTACATCTCAACCATGTCTGTGCATGCACAGAGCAAGGGCGCCAGGTACCTCCAAACCCAAGAACCCCAGCGATTCCAGCTGCTTGCACGTATAAGTTTAGTTTGTGTACAGAATGCATCACAATCAGCAGCTGTGTGTCAAATGCAAGGTTTTCACGCGTCCCCTATTTTTTGGTTTGACCACCGCACCACGCAAGCAGAGCCTGGCGCAAACACCAGCAAGGCCTGGTAGAGAATTTTACTCAACATAATTCTTTTTTCCCGAGGAAACTCGACCACTTAATTGGATCACTCCCGAAATTGCAGGAGTGAAACATTTAAGAAATGTCTTCTAAATTAAGTTTACAAGATGAATATCACCATTTGAGCACTTATGTTAACATATTTTAAGTCAAATCAGCTGATTACAAAATTTCGCCAGAAAAGTATCAGCCTTTATATTTATTTAACTACTTTGGTTTTTCTTGGTATCATACAAGTGTGATACCACTTTAGTCTTCCTTCCTTTTTGATTGCTTTTAGAGGTACCATCTGTTGCTTAAAATGTTGACCAACTTCTCTGCAAGATGCTCCAACTGCAAACTTGTACATATTTCTATGTAAATTGGATTAATTCCCCAGCCGAATCTCGTAGGTTGGTGGGCATGATTGATATTTATATTTGGGGGGGGGGGGGGGGTGAGTGGGATAACTCTGTCTGTCAGCAGACCATGCAAAAGGTACTGACTTTTTGTTGTGGGGGAGTGGGAAGAAGCCAGTAAGTCTCCTGTGGACCAAGTAATTGCTTACCTTACCTGCTTCCAACACATGACTGGTAACCAGAGTTAGCCATTTTCTGTTTTAATCCATGGAGTTTTGTTGTAAGACAAAGTATGATGCCACAAGGCATGCAATGGGCTTATTTTGTTCCATATTCTTGATTATTTGCCCCAAATTTCTTGAAGTGGTCTCTCATGGCTGCTTTAACCACATGTTTTCTATAGTTGTCATGGTCTGCTGACTGGCAAATGAGTGTACTGTACAACTGCACTATTTTTTGACACAGGGATATGCTAAGCTGCATAGCAATTATAATATGAGTTAAATATTAGTGTGTAAAAAATAGTCAGACCATTCCATTTAAAATCTGAAGCCAACATCTCAAACTTTGTCATTAAATATGAATAAACAAGCCTAAATAGATGAATTTACTGCAGCTGAAAAGGCAAGCAGCAATACTGGCATTGTCATCTAAAAGTTATGTTACTTTTGGAGAAGAGAGGTTGTTTTGTGGAACAAATCCATTATTGCCCTTGACATAGGTTTAGCATGGCAATCAAAATAAGTTGTTCAAAGTGATTTAAAGTGTTTTGATTTGTGTGTTGTCAACTTTGTCTCATGTCAACAAGCATACACAAATGAAGTGAATGAAAATGCAAGTTGAAACCAGCCAAAAATGAGCTTTATCATATTTTTATTACATGTGCTGCTGTCAACAGATGGTGAGTTGAGATAATGTTCAACATATGGGCTACTCTAAGTTAGGTTAAGTTGGTTAAGTGCATGGCAAGTGACAACAGGAATTGTGCAAGAATCAGTAACTCACAATGGCTGCTGTGATACAAACAGGTCAGGCAGGATGATATGAAGTAAGGCCTCATTACATTAGGCACAGATAGGCTACTTTCATGGAATAAGCATTGGTATTTTGTAAGAAACAGTAACAAAATGTTTGTTTTCCCTGACCCCATCTTAACAAAGCCAGAGGTATGTTTATTTTGTTAGACTTGGTGATGGGCTGATGTGTAGGAGCCCAAGGTTTTTTTGTTTGGGTGTTTTATGCTTGTTGAATTTTTTGTTCTTATTTTGTTATTGAATTTCTTTGCTTTGTTTTATGTTAAAGTTCTGTGGTAGGGAAGTGCAAAGTACAGCATCAAATTGTTGGTGTTAATAATGGTTTATGCCCATTACACTGCCATGAAATTACTATGCTTTAATGTATTCTGTTTCACTTAAGCAGCTTAAGATGTTAAAAACCAAGGAATTTTGTCAGGTTTGTGATATTACGCTCATGCCAACTTGAAATAGGTGTGTTTGTTTGCTGAAGCATCAGTCACGAACTCATGAGTTTCATCTTTTGTGAATTGATTTTTTCACTCCTGCACGGTCTTTTTGCGATGGAATTTTTCACACTCACCCTAGTTCAAAAGCCATTCTAGCTCCCTGTTTGCTTCTGGAGGGTGAAATCATGTCCCCTCCTTGGTCCAGCTGTAAAAGGATGCTGACGCCTGTCTTGGCTTGTGTTTCCATTGATAGCTAAGCATTATTTTTGATTGCACAATATAGCGGTAAATATTACTGGCCTGGCATCCCACACTGGTAATTTTCCAATGAAGAAAATTATTGCTTGGTAGCATTTGACCCCAAATAATTCACTCCTGGAACGCAGTCCTGCCAGCACACCAATGTGGCCTCTGAGAAGTCGTGCTGCGCTGCCGGCAGAGTACCGCGCTGTAAGTGAGGAGCATGGCTTCTTTGGCATCTGCCGAACACCGGAGCTGGCCTGTGAGGTGACGCTGCAGCCGATCCGACGGTTCGACCTCGACGCCGCCATCATCTTCTCAGACATTCTGGTGGTGCCACAGGCGCTCGGCATGGAGGTCATCATGAAGCCGGGAGAGGTGAGGCGCTGCCCGGACCGCGTGAATTGCGAACATGCCTGTGTCATGGTTCCAGAGATACCGGCTGGACTCCGTGACCTGACTTGACCTGACCTGACGCTGTGACTGGCAGGGTCCCGTGTTTCCGGAGCCGCTGGCTGGGCCAGATGACCTCGCGCGTCTCCAGCGGCCCGTGAACGTCCAAGAGCAGCTGGGCTACGTGTTCGAGGCGGTGACCATGACCCGCCACAAGCTGGAGGGCAAGGTGCCCCTGATCGGCTTCTCCGGAGCGCCGGTCAGTCAGGTTGACCGATATCCCGCGCCGACTGAGTTGGACCATGGACTCAAACAGCCAGCAGGCCGCTGAGCCACCTCGTCTCATGGCCGCGGCCCTGTCTAACGGAGTTACCGATGCTACGTGGTCAGCAAAGGCCTATGCTAGGAAGACGAGGGCCAATCTTCCTGGTTCGCATGTTGGCACACATCATGCGCGTACGGGATTCTAGTTTTCATGTAGCCGTGTCGCTCGTCTCCCTTGCGAGTATTTGACGTCCTCGCACGTGACCGACATCCGTCCACAGTGGACGCTCATGGGGTACATGGTCGAGGGCAAGGGGTCCAAGACCATGTCCAAGGCGAAGCGCTGGCTGTACCAGCACCCGACCGAAAGCCACCAGTTGTTTTCCCTGCTGACCGACGTCGTGGTTGACTACCTGGTGGGACAGGCCGAGGCCGGCGCCCAGGTGAGCAGGGAATTGGCTCAGCTAGCCTCGGCTCGGTTCGGGCGCCCGGGCTGGCCACCGTACGGGCCTGGTGGGAGTCGGGGCAGTTCGGACGGGCGCGCATTGCCGCACCACGTTCCCGTTCTGTCATGACTCACACTGTCGGGGCGAGCCACAAAACTGCTGTCCCTGTGAAACGGGTCCCACGGTTTGTCTGTCCACACAAACCTTTGCAGCTAACTTTTTTTTTACCGCAGGCGTCTGTTTTGTTCAGGTATATCCGGCCCCTGGTTGATTTGGTGGCGCGAAGGGCTTTGTGCGCTTACATAACGCCGATCCTGCCGATTATCACCATTCAGTCGACTGCGACAGTTGGGTGTTACGTAACGCACGTGTTGGCTGTGTTCGCTGTTGGGCGTGCCGTATGTTGCTGTGCAGAATTATCTGCGGCATTACATTTGGTGTATGTACAGAGTGACAACGATTTTCGCCATCGCCGTTCACCCATGAAGTTTGACACAGGTGAAACCGAAGGCGCGAGCAATCCATGACAGAAATGTTCCTAGAACGGGGGAAACGTTTGGATGTAAGCCACAGTTTGTATGGCCTTAAATCACGGACACGGGAAATATTACCGCTTTCGTGCTTTGCCTTCGGCCGGACCGTTGCGGAGACTATGATACGTAAATACGGAGAAGTTAATGTCGCACCGTATAACTGGCCGACATTGATCATACCAGGTCGCCAGGATCCAGGTAGTCCACACAGGTCGCCAGGCTCTCCTGACGGACCTGGCGAGGCCACATCAGCTATACCGGCCCACAGAGACGTAACCATCGGCACTGGTGTCCACGGCCGATCCCGGTGGCCGACTCGCGCCCTCCGTGCCGCCGGGGTGGACCAGGACGCGTAGGGGCCGCTGGTGGCACGATCCATGTCCCTTACCCTGGATCAGTGCTCGGGAGGTCGGCGTGTCATGATGTCGGCGATCAGCTAACGCCGTCGCTCGCGGCTCGGCCAGCTGCTGCAGGTGTTCGAGTCGAGCGCCGAGTATCTGGGGCCCGACCTGTTCGCGCAGTTTGCGCTGCCTTACATCCGCCGAATCTCGAGCGAGGTTAAGGACAAGCTGAAGGCCAAGGACATTGACGTGCCCATGGTGAGTGCCGTACGTTGGACGGCGTGGCCTCCTCCCTCGTGCTGTCCGCATTATCGTGGAGCGTGGACGGCTGTAGTGAGGGAGTTGCCCTCTGTGTGGCTTGCTTCCGGGGCTTGCTTCTGGAACAGCTGAACGGCTTCAGGTGTTCTCAGTGCTTTCTTTGCGCTTGTGGAATTGATTAGGCTTACTTTTTACGCGTGTCTTAGGTGCGCTGTGATGAGTACGTAAACATCAGTGCGTTCTTTCCACTTTCTTTGACACATAACGTACTCTTCCTCCAATCCGCATTACATTGAGCGGATGCATTGCGCTTATATTGAGCGCATGATCATTGAGTGTTCGTGTAGGACGGACCGCAGTGGAATGTCATGACATTCCCGAGCCAACCTTCTTTGTATTGTCTCTCGTCGGCCGCATCCCAGCCCCTCGCCAAGCCTCAATTGGCGCGTGACCGGCCGTCGCTCCACTCCAGACGATATTCGCCAAGGGCGGCCACTACGCGCTGGAGCAGCTCGCGGACAGCGGTTACGAGGTGGTGGGCCTGGACTGGACGGTGGACCCGGCCGGGGCCACTGACCGCCTGGGCGACAAGGTCACGCGCCAGGGCAACCTGGACCCGTGCGCCCTCTACGCGCCGGAGGTAAGCCGGGGATGGCATTCAGGGGAGGAGGACTGGGGGTCGGAACCGGAGCGGGCTGGGCGCGGATGTGGATGGCGGGCGGAGAGAGCGCAGTTCGGTGCCTGCGGTTTTCTGAAGATGTTTGATGTTTGTTGAAGATTAACGCGCTCGTTGCGTCATGATCGACTAAGATTTCGAAATGGTAAATGATACCATCAATGAAAAATGCAGCGATGGAACGACCATCAATGAAAAATGTAGCGATGGAACGACCATCAATGAAAAATGTAGCGATGGAACGTACTTTTCATATCGTTCAGTGACGATGAATAAGACTGCAATATGCATGTCACGCTCGGTCTGCGAAGTGTTTGTCTAATTGTATCGTGAACGATGCCCCTCCTACCTAACCTCATTGTATCGAGGAGCACGATCCTGCTTGTAGTGTTCGCATAGCAAAATAACTTCTCGCACCCGTGATGTGGGGATTTACACCGGTACAGTGTAGATGGAGTCACGCCCCCCCCCCCCCCCCACCCCGCGGAGTCTGACAGCGTGCCGCCGCTGGCGCTGCTGCCGCCGCCGCCGCAGGAGTCGCTGGACGCGCTTGCCAAGCAAATGGTGGAGCGGTTCGGCACGCGCCGCTACATCGCCAACCTGGGCCACGGCATCTACCCGGACATGACGCCCGAGCGCGTGGTCACCTTCGTCGACGCTATCCACAAGTACAGCCGGCAGGACTGAGGCCCGCCGCACGGCCCGGTCGCCGGCACTCGGGCGTCACACCGCTGGAACTCTGGCGTCACACCGCTGGGACTCGGGCGTCACGCCGCCGGGACTCTAGCGTCGCGCTGCCGTAACTCGGGTGTCACGCTGTCGGGGCTCTGGTGTCACGCCGCCGGGACTCTAGCGTCACGCCGCCGGGTCTCGAGTGTCACGCCGTCGGGGCTCTGGTGTCACGCCGCCGGGTCTCGGGTGTCACGCCGGTGGGACTCTGGTGTCACGCCGCTGGCATTCCGGTTGTGGGAAGGGATGATGGGGGTGGCGGGTGGACTTGCGAGGGGTATTGATTTTCCAGGTGTATGACGTCACTGCCGCCTCGCCTCGCTGGGGAGCTGGCACTGGTGCCTTGGTGTTGGCGCTTGTGGAGGGACTTTGGTGCACCGTGTTGGCCGACGCATTGTCTTGTAGGAAGGAGGTCGTGACCCCCCTAATCTGAGGGTATTTTCAAGGCTGTGGATCATAATAACGCGAAGGCTGCCCCCGAACAAAGCAGATCTCAGCTTCGTGCTTCGGCGAACAACTTTTGGTGCTCCAGTGTTTCGATACGTTGGTCCGAAAGTTTTTGGTTAAATGTATTGAGTTGATTGTATGCTCAAGTCAAGTTTCTAACATGTTTGCGACCGCCGTTCGGGCTATGCGTGCGAGTTAAGTTTGTGACTGTTACGTTAGTGTTGCATGTCCACGCACGGGATATTTAGTAGGTTCTTATTAGGTATGTTTAGTAGGTTCTCTTAAGTAAGCTCTGGGAAATGTGTAAGAATGTCTTAGGCAGCGTTACGCAACGCGTGCTACCAATGCAGAATATAGCATGTGGTTTGTCTGCTTATTAAACTGGATATGAACCCCGCCTGTTGAATACTGGTACATGCTAAACGCATGGTGGTGCTTCGCCATTCCCTGGAGTGTTGGCAGTCTGAATGACCTCGAACTGAATTGCAACGTAATGTCGTACCACTAGTAATCCGGCACCGTGCAGTTCGGTAGCCCATTTAGCCGAACCATGGCGAGGCCGGCCGCCATTTGGCTCAGTACTGGCCAGTCTGCGTTGTCTTGAATGGATCTGACGGAGTGCCCTGCCACCGCGAGGTACACCAGAGGCCGCCTGAATGATCCGTCTGTTCTGCGAATCGCGACACCGCGGATCCACTCCAAAACATACTTGATTCGTTGGCCACGAGTTTTGCAAACACCCGTGAGCATGGGGGCTTGCCAAGGGGCAAATACGAGTATCTTGTGCGCTTGTTTGCCGGTCGCGATGGTCGGGATGGACGCGGATGGTCCCAGACGCATGCTGCTTGCCCCGCGAGCCGGGCCGACCTCACGTGACCAGAACTGTCGCCGGCCCTTCGCGCACTGACAAAGCATACAAACACGGACATTCCCAGCGCGTGTCAGTACAGATACGCGGCCATGTCGGCAAACTCCTCACAAAATCTCTGGAAACATTGCCACAGGAACGCTGGGTGCTGTGTGGCTTCAGGGCGAGTTGATGGTGAAGGTAAGCCAGGCACAACGCCGTTTAAACACGGTTATCTTAACATAGCGATTATGATATAATAGTGCATCGGCTTATTGGAAAAGCAACCTCCATTAATTTCCCCATTCGGCCATGCTCAGCAGCCCAGGCGTCCACCGTTGAGGGTCATGAAGCTGTATCTGAAGTGTCCGCCCCGAGGGCGCCCGGCACGTCAGCCAGCGTTGAGCCCATGCGTAATGCACCGCACAGGGCTCCCTACAACCAACTTGTATTAACGCATGCCACCCGCAATGAGCCGATGTGTTAAAGCACGTAACAGAACAGCAATGCCGGAGGGAGACCACGAGAACGGCTGCGTCCATCACCCGTCTCTCGGCCGACGCCGGCGACTGGCCGCCGCACTGGTGTGAACGCAAGGCCTGGGGCAGCACGACGATTTCACGGGGACGGTGGTGAAGCGAACGTGGCCGGCTAGGGAGGGCCCGAGTGCCTCCCTGTTTTGACACTAACGCCTAGCTGCAAAGGCGGCTCCGGCCGCATTATCGCGGCCCGGTATTGGTCCCGCTACATGCCTCCATAGCTCTGGTAATATTCGTCAGCAATAGAGCTGGCGGATAAACGATCACCGTACTACCACACTGCGACATAAATAATTTCACATCGATCACGTGTCATAATCCGTTGCTAAAGTGACATGATCGGTCCCATTTCTGAGCCTGGTCGCGGCCCTTCCACCCCCTGCCTAAAGCCGGCCGCCCCAGGCCGCGTCTCCGGAGCGGCACGGACCGCCACCAGCGCGACGGCTAGTCCTCGTCGTCCGACTGCGGTATGGTGAAGTCGGCCGGCTGCATACTGACGGCGCCGGCCAGGCCGGCGACCGGGTCACCCTCTGGCGGCGGCGCGGCGCCCTTCATTGGCGTCGATTGAACGCCACCCGTCGTCACGCCCGCCTCGAACTTGTCCGTGTCCAGGCTCGAGTCGATGGGCGGTGGCGGCGCGGCCGACAGGTCGAGAGGCACCAGCATGCCCGAGCTGCCGCCGGACGGCGGCCGACTCCTGCACGCTGGCCACCGAAGCGGCAGTGGAGGTGGAGGTGGAGCCGGAGCCGGAGCCGGAGCCGGAGCTAGAACTGCTGCTGCTGGAGCCCACCGCCTGCCGGCTGAGCACCCGCCGGCGCAGGTCGTCGCCCGAGGCGCGGCTGGCGCGGCTGGCCTGGCGCGTGACCGGCGGTGAGCCGGAGCTAGAGCCGGAGCTGTTGGCGTGCGCCGCCAGCGGGCCAGAGCGCGACCTCATGCCCAGCTTGCTGATAATAGCACCGACGTCTGGCGAGCTGGCGCCCGAGGTGGGGCGTGCCGGCGCCGTGACGCCGCCGCCAGTGCTGGCCGTACGCGCCGACATAGTGCTGAACGAGCCGCCGCCACTGACGGAGCGGATGGCCTCGCGCGACGCCTCGAGCGCGCGCTCCAGCGCCGAGCTGCGCAGCGACACCTCGGACGTCGAGCCGAGCGCGGCCAGCGGACCGGAGCGCTGAGCCAGAACCGCCGCCGCCGAGCCGGGCCGCGGCGACTCCTGCGAGAAGTACTCCTGCGAGCTGGTCAGGTTGGAAAGCTGGCTGAGCGTGTCGTCCTGACCGGCGGCGGCCGGCGCGCCGCCCGGAGGCGGTCCGGTGCGGGACAGCAGGCTGCCCGTGGAGGTGACGTCGCCTGGCTGGCCAGTCGCCGCGTCGGCCGCGCCGCCGCTCTCCATCAGCGGGGTGCGCGAGCGGCCCGTGGCGTCTCCCTCCTGGATGGTGCTCAGCTCGTGCGGCGCCATGCCCTCGACCGAGGCCCGACTGAGCGTGGGCGGCGGCCGCGGCCGGCCGCTGGTCGAGCTGCGCGTCGTCGCCAGCTCGCCCGCAACGGACGAGTAGCTGCGCATCAGATCGTCGCGCCGCTGCTGCACCTCCGACAGCTTCTCCATCACCTCACTGTAGCGCTGCATGTAGGCGTCGGAGGCGGCGGCTGCGGCGACAGCGGCGACGCTCTGCGACGGCTCTGAGTACACGCCCGAGGTGCCGCTCCGGTCGGGCGGCGGCGCGCCGTCGGAGGGCTCCGACCCGGCCATCGAGCCCAGCGACCGGGAAGCAGCCGTGGCCAGAGTTGAGTCGGCACCGCGGCTCAGCGAGGCGCCAGCCGAGTCGTCGAGCGCGCTGCGCGAGGCTGAGCTGGGCGGTGAGTGGCCCGAAGCCGTGCCGTACACGGTGGACGGCGAGCCGTACTGGCCGAGCTCGCCGCGCGAGCCCACAGCCGCCGCCGTTTCGCCCCGCATGAACTGGCCGGCCAGCGCCGGGTCGCCCGGGTCGCCGGGCGCGCCCTGGTACGCTGTGTTGGTCGAGTCGAATGTCTCGCCGGCCGGCACGCCGCCGGTCAGCGCAGATAGCTCGGAAGAGCGAGCCGTCGAGACGTCAGAGGTGCCCAGCGACGAGAGGTCGGCCGTGCGCAGCGACGACACGTCTGGCGAGGTGGCGTCGGCCGGCACGCCGTCGGCATCCACGCCCGTCGGTATCGGGTAGATGCCGTCGGCGCCGACGTACATCTGCGGTTGCTCCGCCTCGTCCGACACTGGATAGATGCCATCGGCACCCACATACATCCGTGGTTGATCCGCCTCGTCACCGCCCTGGTACACCGGCTGTTCGCCCTCCTGGTACATTTGCTGTTCGCCCTCCTGGTACATTTGCTGTTCGCCCTGTTGGTACATTTGCTCCTCGCCTTGTTGGTACATTTGCTGTTCGCCCTCTTGGTATATTTGCTGTTCGCCCTGTTGGTACATTTGCCGTTCGCCTTGTTGATACATTTGCTGTTCGCCTCCTTGATACATCTGCTGCTGGTACATACCTTCCTCGCCTTCGTACATCTCCCTTTCGCCATAGCCCTCTTCTTCGCCTCCATACGTCTGCCCCTGGCCGTAGTATTCCTCCTCCTCGCCCTCGTACAGCTCATCCGGTTCCTGACCCGGGTACGCGTCGCCTCCGAATATGCTGCTGTACTCCTGTCCGTCGTCTGCGCTATCGTGTCCGGGCGGCGCCTGGCCGCTGTCTGCAGCACTGCCGTACTCCTGTCCGCCGGCGGCCGTGCTGCCATACTGCTCGTCACCGACGGCCGACTCGTCCGTCTGCCAGCGGCTCGTCTGGTCGCGGCCCGACGCGCTCGAGTAGACGGACTGCTCGGGCTCGGCGTCGTCGGGCGCCGCCGGGGTCCAGGTGCCGGGCGGGCCCGTCGACTGGCTAGAGCTCGCCGGCACGCCGTCGGCCGGCGCCTCGCCGCGCGCCTCGGCCAGCAGCTCGGCCACATGCCGGCCGTAGCGGTCAAACTCCTGCGCCAGGTCGCGCGCCGGTGTCACGTACTCGGCGCCGGCGTCGCTGGCGTCCGCGTCCTCGGCCAGCAGCAGCGCGTCCTCAAACAGCTGGTTGAGCCGGCGCTGGCGCTCCTCGTACGATGCCACGCTGCCGCCGGCGTCGGCCTGCGCCAGTGAGGCGGTGGCGCGCGCCAGCTGCTGCGCCGAGCCGGCACCCTGGCGCCGCTCGCGTCGCTCGTCCGCCTCAGCCCTCTCCAGTTCGGACATCAGTCGCGCGTACTCGCTGCGCGCGCTCATGCGGCGCATAGCCTGACGTCCACGCGCCGCCGCCGCCTGCTCGCGATCCAGCTGGCGCAGCTGCTCGTTGCTGGCGCGTTCCCGCTGCTCCTGCTCGAGCGCGCGGGCGGCGGCGCGCGCGTCGTAGCCGCTCTGCTCGCGGCGCACCTGGTATTCGTCGGGCGCGGCGCGCGTCTCGCTGTGTAGCGGAACGCCGGCCGGCGCCGTCGACGAGGAGGCGCGCGAGCTGGAGGCCACCTCGCGCTGCAGCTCGGACGGCGTGAGCGCCGTGTCCGAGTGCGGTACGTCCGTCAGCGTGGTGCTGCTCATGCCGGCCGTCGGCTGCTCGGAGCGGGACGTGCGGCCCGTGGAGGAGGTCCCGCCGCCCGGACGTGTGGACGACCGGCCACCGCCACCGCCGCCAACGCTGCCGCCACCGCCACCGGACATCTCGGACGGACCGGCCGAAGCGGAGCGCGCCGACGGCGGAGCCGCCGGTTCCGGGAAGCGCGTGCCTGTTTTCTTATCGCGGCCAAGCGCGCGCGTCTGACTGCCGCGGTGCGCGGTGGGCTCGCGCGACAGCGTGCCCCGCTCGCTGGTCTGCAGGGCGCGCGTGGCGCGACAGCGCGGGCGCGGCCGCGTCTGCACGGCATCGTCGCGGAACGATACACGCGGCCGGAACGCCGACTGGAAGACAACGGTGGAGGAAGCGGCGGTGCTGGACTGGGCGGCGGCCAGGCGGCGCGCTTCCGCCTCCTGGCGTCGACACTCGGCCAGCCGCTCACGATGGCCGTCCTGCGCCACTCGGTCGGCGCGCACGCGCTCCAGCGCCCGGTTCAGCTCGCGCAAGGTGTCAGCGCGGCGGCGCTCCTCATCCAGCCGGCGCTGGCTGTCGTGGACGCGCTGGAGCGCCGCCTGGTGGCGCACGGCCGCCACCTGGCTCTGCTCGGCGGCCAGCAGGCGGCGCGGCACGCTGAGGTCGGGCTGGCGCGCCGCCGCCAGGTGCGCCGAGCCAACCTGGCGCAGGCAGGCCGAGTACTCGGCCTCTAGCTGTGACAGCTTGTTCTCCTTCTCATCGGCGTACTCGGCGGCTATGCCTTGCTTCAGTCGCGCCACCTGGCGCGCCGACTCGGCCTGCACGCGCTGGCGCGTGCGGTCGGCGGCGCGGCTGGCCTGCTGGCGCACCTGGACCAGCCGCGCCAAGCTGCGGCATCGTGTCTCTTCCCGGATGCGATCCTGGCGCTCGGTGATGGTCAGCCGGTACATCACTCATGGCAGGCGGGGCAGTGCCTCATGAAGCCTGAAATTGCTGGTAAGGTTAGGAGATGTGAGTTGAAACCCAGCACCAGGGCAAAACAAACAATAGATAACACATGCAGGATGTGTAAGATTTATGTCAGTTATGTATGCTGCTTGGTTAAGGATTTATTGTGCAGCTCCACATCATCCCAACTTTGCATCCTTATAATGCTCATGGCCTGGACAGGGGATAAATGTGAGGAGTGTCAGCCCAGGTCACCAGAGATGGTGTGGGCAGACAATAGAATGTAAACCAGCATGCCCTGCATGCACAGGGGACACACTTTTACTGATTAAGTGCAAAACTTTGTGCAAAACAAGTGCAAAACAATTCTTTACTTTATGATTTCTGAGGTGTTTGCCTCACAATCAGCTATCATGTAACACTGACATAGCCTTAAGCCAAGCAGATGCAAGAACCAGATGCCCCAGGCAATATGGAGGAGGCAGAAAGAAAATATATAACATATTGCTGAATTTCCTGCACCAAAAAGATATTCCTTTTTTTTGTTCTAAGACACTATGGTCCCTTTCATGCCACCTGCCAATCCCATATTGATGTCAGAACTTCCACCTTACTTCAAACATCAGCTGTTTCCAATGCATGGAATTTCAAACATAGGAGATCAGTGTTTGACTTCAAGAACTTACAAAAGTGGCATGAGCCTTTTAGCTGTTGCAAGGATGTAATAACCTTTCAACATGTGACAAATTTTTACCTCCCTTAGCCAGGAGCCCAAAATAAGAATCAGGGAAGTGGTCTTGCAAAATGAGTAAGGAGGATTAAGTAGTCAGAACTGATGGAACATACCACCCTAAACCACTAACAGGCTTATCCACAGATTTGGCCTACTTCCCTTGCAAAGCTCAGGGGGAGAGGCTGGAGCCCAAGTTGCAGGGAAAGGCTGGAACCCCTCAAATGACTAGGAAACTACCCTCATCCCAGTCAAACAATGCCATTCAATCCAGTTACTATTTGTGTTGTGCATCAGTCAGCTCTGTCAATCAGTCTGATTTCATGACAGCCTAATATTGTCCATGGTTAAATTGCTGACAGATGTAGCACATGCCAACATGCATTACTGCACATCACAATTTCATGATAAAGTGTTTCTCCATCGGCAGCACAAACCGCCGTTCAGCACAATCATGATCAGCACCTAAAATTCGAACTTGAATTTGTTCACTCCATTGATTCCTGAACATAATTGCCACGACGTTAATGCATGAAAACAAGACAAGGTTGCACAAAGTATCGCTTATGAGGAAAAAATTATGAAACAAACGGGAAACACACGGAAACGGAACCATATATGAACGCAACACAATCCCGCACCGATTTCCTCCCACACGATCAAACGGTCGCGGTTGACCTCTGTCACGGATGCGCATCATATGCGTTCCTACCGTTCGTTGTGCTTCTATGCTGATAGCGTTTAACTAGCTTCCGTGCGTCAGAGAATCGCTAATATTTTCCGCAGGCTGCTTGGATCGAACACAAAGTGCGAGGCTCAACTTGTGCGTACTGGTGCGTACAGACAGGAACTTGCGTGCAGAGATCGGGGCGGCGGTCGTCCAGCTTCCTACTCGTCCGTCTTCTTAGCGGCTTGTTGCAGCTAGGGGCGTCCGTTGCCTTGTGTTAGACCTCGATTTATCTTCGTTATCATATCAAGATTCTTTTATAAAGAAGCAGGGATATATTTTCCCATTCCCGCATACCTTGATATAAACAAGTAGGACCTTGAGTTCGGCAGTTGGAGCTGGGAATGTTCTCTTGATGTCGATTAGGTCCTCTAACTAGTATTACCTGGCATATCGAGGGTCTCTTATCGACAGCATGTTTACTCCAGACTCATGAATTCATGAGACCAGTCATGGGGTTTTTCTGTGAAACACCTGTTCGCTGCATGTGACACATGCACTCCACTTCATGTGATGGATATGTAATATTGGTGGTGCCCTGGACATTGTGCTTTCATGCACTTAATGTGTGCCTGGCCCAAATGAGTCAACCATGAGCCATGCTCTAAGCTCTCAGATTTATGACATCCATTGAAATTGTTACTGTGGCTATGCCAGCCATGTTCATTGCAAGAGTAGCACATTTTTTGCAGTCTGGTATGGGGTTTCATCACATACAAGGCATCAGCAATTGACCCTGTTCTGCAATTTTTCTGTCAGTCAATGAGCTGATACAGATAATGCTGGGTTCAAGGAACTTTTGCATGCTTGATAGGGATAATGTTGGTTTAATGACCCTTGGCATGCCCATCCCCACTTCCTCTGATTCCCATGTTCCTGTATCTGTCACTCAAAACCCACACAGTGTGTTGTTGTTTCCTGTTCAGTCGAGCTGGGGAAGGGGTCTGCAGCCCCCCAATCCTTGATAATGAGATGAGCCAAAGTGTAGTGAAACTCATTATTAAAAGCTGTGAGCAAGATTTTGTGCCTCATGTAGGGGATGGGCTTATCCACTTCAGTGCTGAACCTCCCACTTTATTCTGTGAAGCTACACCTTTTCATTCACATTCATGGCTGGAGCTTCTGATTACTCTGATGGACCATATCACCATCCAGTGTTCAGCTTGGGGCCCCAATATCATGTTAACCTCATTACTAGGTACATTGGAGTTGGCCCACAAGAAAACCAGACTTAATGATCAGGTCAGGATCAAAGCCCAAAGCTATGGTGTACTTTCTGAGTATGGATTTGGCCCTTTCCAGTTCTTCAACAAAGCTTCAACCATGCATAATCAGGCACATTTTGTACCCAAACTTCATGTACAACACAGCCTTGACCCACAGTCTGCCACTAGTGTGATGCATGCCAAAAAGTCTTATTCTCCTTGTCTTGCCTTCTGTTCTTCTCTTCTTGCACAAGTGTCATCTGGTAAACTACCAACCATCATCCCCCTGTCTTCCTTGAATTATTGCTCTGGTGGCTGGAGACTTTGTTCAGAGGCCTTCTGACTGGTTTCCTGAGTTCAATTGCCTTCTTGATGCTGTTCTTTAAGAGTTGTCATCTGATGCATTGGAAAAAAATTATATGAGATGTGAGATCCCCTTGCCCACACTTGTCCCACAGCAGAGATATGGAGCTGACACACATTGGGCTCACAGCAGAGAGATGAAGCTGACACACATTGGGCTCATAGCAGAGAGATGGAGCTGACACACATTGGGCTCACAGCAGAGAGATGGGGCTGGCGCACATTGGGCTCACAGCGGAGAGATGGAGCTGATGCACATTGGGCTCACAGCAGAGAGATGGGGCTGATGCACATTGGGCTTATGCTTACAGGCTGTCAATGTGTTTGTTGAGAGTGCTGTAGCATACCATGCAGCAATGGCTTCTTAACATCCTATTACTCACAGGCTTATTTCCTGATTTCTTGAGTTCAAGATTTTTCAAGATGTCTTTTGTGACTGTGCCAGAAGGAAGTGACTTCACAATACAGAACTTGCCTTATGGAGTCTTTTCTACTTGTGAGAATGTAAGTGGTTTGCATGAGCTACATCTGTCAGCATGATGCTGTTTTGTTTTGCAAAATTGTAAAACTGCAATTTGCTATCTTATTGCCATCATGTTATCCTGATGATTTTTCATAGATGTGAGATCATCAGTAATAAATGAATCCATCTGCTTTTTATTTCATTGACGCTGAAAATCCATTTTTCTTGAGCAGCCCACTTGACCACCCAGTCCAAGATCTTGAAACTGTGTGTATCTCCCGATGGCACCTGCACGTTTGACCCGTTGTCTGGCGTCAGCCGACACATCGGATCGGCGTGGCGATCGGCGCCATGGTGCTCGACCTCGGCGTCATCGCCCATCTGTTCACGGGGCCGCAGCTGGCCGCACACCAGCATGTCCTGAAACAGGTGCGCCACAACAGTCCGATGTCCCTGGTGAACCTGAGCTGATGCCATCCTAAAATGGTCTTGTTGCATGGAATGATTGGAGTGTACTCATTAGGTTGCTGGGTTTTGCTTGTAGTTTTGTGTTTTGTTTTGTATTTGCACATGTATTTATGGTTTTTGTGTTTGTTTTTGTTGTCAGCTTATTTAAGGTGCTTCTTTATTAAAATGTCTCCCACTGTGTTGCTTTTAGCCAGTTCTGAATGGCTTGATGGCACTCTCTCGCGCGGCCTGGATTGAAGCCAGATCAACGATCCAGAGTCTGCTGTCCAAGGATAGCCAGGTCTTGCAGGGAGATTCTGCACTGTTGTCAAAGTGAGCCTGAGTGATGCATAACTTGTCAAGGACCAACATGCATGGAACAGTGGTGCCACAAGCTAGCATTCCTTATTTTGTCTGAACTGTTTCAGTTCACGTTCATTGTGCATGGATGCAGAATTCACTGATTTCACATTCTATGAAAAGTGATAAATATCTATTGATTGGTGGGCATGTGCGTTCAACAAACATCAGAGAGGATTTTTCCTTTCTTGCCTGTTTGCTGTAGACATGGGCAGGAGACGGCGTTAATGCGCGTGAAAGAAAGCCACTGGTGAATCGAGAGTTGCTGCCTTAGCGCAAGTGTTGTGTACGAATCTGAAATTGTAGTTCTTGGCAAGCTACCAGTTCTGTTCACAACATCTGAGTGATCATGAGGCCCATTGGACGTCTTCCATTGCATGAGCTGACGCTCTCCAGCTCTCAGCCGCCCCGTCCCCGCCTCGTTCCCCGGTCCCGGCCGGCGCCACCGCCGGCCCTAACGCGGCCCGTGTCGGCGGCCGGCAGAGCGTTGCTGCCTCAGTCCCAGGTCACCATGCACCTGCCGGCCAACATCGGCGACTACACCGACTTCTACTCGTCGCTGGACCACGCCACCAACGTGGGCACCATGTTCCGTGGCAAGGAGAACGCGCTCATGCCCAACTGGTACGAAGCGCGGCTGGCCGGCCGTAACGGGACCGGCCGCGGCCGACGGTGGCGCGCCTGCTCTTCGCGTGCCAGCGTCGAGAGCCGCGCTACCAGAAGCGCTCGTGGAAATTTGAGTTCGTGGCGTTCCACATACTTGGTCAGTCCGTGGATCTGGAAAAGGTTCACTTTCTGTTTAGAACGTACTTGATCATTCTGCGTGTCTGGAGAACGCTAACCGTTCGTCACAGGAAGCAGGTGTCCAAAGCTGCCGACGTCGAGCAGCTACCACTAAAGCCCACGAGGAAATCCGGAGAGTATCTTCTGGTCGGGGTCGCGCCGTGTCGGCGGAATACCGGCCACGTTTTGTGTGCGCGCAAACCGCGGGCCCTGCCCGGGGCAGAGCACCCAGGACGTGTGACTTCGAGCACCATGGTGCGTGGCATGACGGCCCGGCGTGCGGCGCACCGCAGGAAGTACCTGCCGGTGGGCTACCACGGGCGCGCCTCCAGCGTGGTCGTATCGGGCACGCCGGTGCGCCGTCCGCTGGGCCAGACGCGGCCCGCCGACGACCAGCCGCCCACGTTCGGACCCTGCCGGCTCATGGACTTCGAGCTGGAGATGGCCTTCTTCTTCGGCGGCGCCGGCAATGCGCTCGGCGATCCGGTGCCCATCGAGCGCGCGCACGAGCACATCTTCGGCATGACGCTGATGAACGACTGGAGCGGTGAGTTGGGAGACAGGCGAACCGACTGGGCACGGACGCCGGATGTTGTCTGGGAGGGACCGGAACGAGGAGGACGGCGCTGCCCGCTCCTGACCCTCGCGGCTTGACACGAGCTGGTGTATCACTGCGTGCCTGCCCCCCCCCCCCCCCCCCCCAGGTGTGTGCCTCTGAGCCGCCGGATGTTGTCTGGAAAGGACCGGAACGAGGACCACGGCGCTGCCCGCTCCTGACCTCCGCGGCTTGACACGAGCTGGTGTATCACTGCGTGCCTGGCCCGCCCAGGTGTGTGCCTCTGGGCCCAGTCGCTTTGGTCTGACGGCCTGCTGTCTGGCCGGCCAGCACGTGACATCCAGAAGTGGGAGTACGTACCGCTGGGTCCGTTCACGGCCAAGAACCTGGGCACCTCCATCTCGCCTTGGGTGGTCACCATGGAGGCGTTGGCGCCGTTCGTCGTCGACAACTACGTGCAGGAGCCGCAGCCGCTGCCCTACCTCAGACATGACGACAAGTACTCCTTCGACATCAAGCTGGAGGTGGCCATCAAGCGTGAGTGGCTGGCGCAGCGCCGTTCGTGTGTCAGCGACTCCGGGCTGTGGATGTCCCAATGTATGCTTTTAGTCCGTATAGATCGCTGATGAGATATGAAGCTTCATTATAGCTCATATTTGCCAAATATCTGGGTAATCGTATTTGAATATCTTTTTTCGTTTGGGGGCTGAGTGATGGACTGAGTTGCTTAGTGAAAACATCCGTTGATTTGGGGCACCTGGTGATGCCCTCTGTGACATGTCGAGTTAGGCTGTGGTTGCTTGGTTGCCCGTTCAGAGCGCTGTCCGCATCACCCGGTCGACGTCGCCCTTGAAGTCCTGGCATGTCTGTGACAGAGGCATCAGACCGTCCTTGCAAGTGACACTGACCAGAACCCGAGCTCGGCCTTAGACTCGAACTCCAGTCGAAGCCCCGGTTCCATCCCCCACCCTAACGACAATCCGAGCTACGACCCCGGCGCTCATCCAAACCCAGACTCAGTTCCAACCCAACAGCTTACCCGAACCGGACTTCGTGATCGGACCGTTGACCCGCGGTCGTGACCCTGACCGGCGTGGCCATGTGCCGGCAGCGGAGGGCGCCGGCGGCGAGTCGGTAGTGTCTCGCTCCAACTTCCGCTACATGTACTGGACGATGAAGCAGCAGCTGGCGCACCACGCCGTCACCGGCTGCAACATGCGGCCCGGCGACTTGCTCGCCTCAGGCACCATCAGCGGACCGGTGAGCCCACGGTGCTACCTCGAGAGGGGGGGGGGGGGGGGCTCTGGGAACAGCAGTCGCCTCAGGTACCATCAACGGACCGGAAAGGCCACGGCGCTATCTGGGGAGGGGAAGGGGGGACTCTGGGAACAGCGGTCGCTTCAGGCACCATCAGCTGACCGGTGTGAACCCACGACGCTATCTCGGGAGGGGGGGGGGGTCTTCGGGAACCGAGGAGGTCACTCCCCGGGGAGACCACGGAGAGACCAAGGGCGCCGACGAGTTCAGATCATCACACCATCCCGCGGGGCGTGGGACCGGGACACCGTGAAGGGATGAGGTTATCACACAGTGTCTGTGAGGGGCCGCGGCAGGACCTTGACGCCGGGCAGGTGAGGTCATTACTGGATCTAGGAGGGGGACGGCGTGTCGATTGAAATTCGCGAATGGGCGGAGTCACGAGCTTCGCCGCGTCGGGAGCATGTTCAGAAACGCTTTCGTGCGAAACATCACGTAGCTCGCTCGCAATAGAGCAGCACTCGAATGTCGCTGCCGTCACTGGAAGCTGTGGCGCGCGTCGCCTCCCCCGCACCATCACCTCGCCAGCCGTGGCGTCCTGTTAGCCCGGCTGCTGCTGCCGGTGACGGGCTGAGGGGGTCGTCCGTGGGCGTGCCGTTGGGCCGGTGTGGCGGGCGGGCTGCGTCGTGGCGGCGGCTCGATGGCCAGCATTGTCCCGGAGGTTGAGATAATCAGGGCGATACAGTGGGGTGCTCCGATCAATCAGAGATGACCGGCGCCCGGTCGACACACGCCGTGTACCGGGGCGGCGGGGGGCCGGCGCCGATCGATGGCGCCGCGGCGGACGGCCGGGACCGTTGACCGTCCGGAGTCACTCAGACAGGCGCGGCTGGAGCTGTCTGCACGTGCAGGGCTTCAGCAGACGTGTGAAGTTGAGCTGTTCCGCCGCTGCTCGCTGGACGCCGGCTGGCGTTAGCTCGCCGAGCTGTATGGTCCAGTGATCACCAGACCGGTGTGACTTGACCCTCGCGCCCGTGCGCAGGGGGCGTGTCCAAGTTACAGGGTGTGAGCGCCGCCTTGGTGTCACTTCCGGAGTTGCCTAACTGGTGGACTGGCCACCCTCACCCCCTCCCTCCCAGACTGTGACCGGCGCTGGTCGCGGCTTTAACACCATTCAACGTTGTACTTGTCCGTGGCGTTACGTTGGTTTATGCCGTCACGGTGTCAAACCTAATCGATAAAGTCAGCTCATCTTGGATCATTCGTCAGCTCGTTTTTCGCTTTTTGCACGTACGTGAACTTGAAATGTTCGTGCTGCGTGGTGTAAGTACACTATATGACCGCACAGTCGAAGCCCCTGCAAGACCCAATACTACTACTACTACTACTACTACTACTACCACTACTGCCACCTACTACTACTACTACTACTACTACTACTACTACTACTACTACTACTACTACTACTACTACTACTACTACTACTACTACTACTACTACTTCTACTCTAATGATGCGCATGGGTGGCTGTGAGTGCAGAACACTCGCCAAGCAGGGCTTGATGTGTGCGTCTTGAATCCAGCAACCGAGGAACGCCTCTCCAGTGCATCGAGTAATCATGTCTCCGGATCCGTGCCAGGCCGGACCTCGGAGGGTCTGATGTGCCATGAAATGCTACGGGATTACAGTGCTGTCCCTGTTAAATCCTCTAGGCCAGCTGCCAGCTGATCTTTCCATGAGCGTGGGACACACAGGGCGTCCGCTCTGGGGCCGGTGTCTTGCGTCGCTGGATTACGAGCACGGCACCTCTTGGACCACGGCGGTGACACTTCGGTGGCCAGCCCACCACGCCATTACTTTTCATCGAACTGTAAAAAAATACACTGCCCCTCCTGCCACGACGAGTTGCGCCAACGCATCACTCAAGCGGTCTAGGTTTTCAGGCGCCAGGCTTCGACGCTGACACCAGCCTAGCTCGACCGAACCAGCTGACGTAGAGCACCGCTGTAATATGAATGAACACTTCCATCTTATAATGTATATGTTCTCATCGTATCGTGACTCACTCGCGTCCAGCGAGCCGGTGGTGGCGCGAAATGCACCCAAGATCTGATTCTTATGGGGTAATGTTGGACCCAGCTGTGGCTCATATCTCGTGTCATTTGCTCATCGATCCGAATGCCGGGCGGGTCCGTCTGTCATCGGTGATCGCTGGGAAGGTGCATTGGCGATGCATCTTTCAGTGGCCACTGCTCCCCGCGACATCACAATACTGGCACTGTGCTGGCGCTGTCGACGCTACCATGGTCGCTTACTATGTCCTGGCCGTGATCTACCCACTGCAACGGTCGGGTGCTGTCCTCAGGGTCTGATCAGTCCGTTAGCAGGGGGTCGCTGTCGTCAAGTGCTGATCCGCGCGTTACCAGGGTCGTTTACTGTCGCTTGCTGATCTGTCTGCAACTCACAAGACGGAGATGAATCTGTTGAACCGTCAATCCGTTAACTAACTTGTAATGGTAACTAGTCAACGCTTTCGTTAACGTCGAAACTAACGGCTATTTCCGTTGAAGTAGTGTTTTTGTTATTTTTTAGATTTGATGAAATTCTAACTCATTTCTCAGTACATTGATCCCAAATAAATTTTCGTTTCTATTAGATTCTCACCGGCGGGCTGTGAGTAAACGTTATTGGCAAATTTTCCATTGAGTTTGCAGCTTTCACCATTGCACAAGTGATGGCTGGGTTTTTAAGCGGGAGGGCCACGCGAGGGTCTTGGGAATATGAGTGATGGGAAAATGGGGTTATGTAATCCTGGAGTGGTGGACGTTGGCAGGTTTCATATTGAAACTATGGGGATGGGGGTGGGGGCTGCCTCCTAGCATCTCCTGGGCGAAATCCGCGAAATCCCGGGTGCGCTGCTTGAGCCTATTTGATTTTGATGGCAGCCGTATATCATAAGTGACGTAAAAGGCTTGACACTTCAAAACTATTTTAGGCCTTAAGCGTAGCAATGATACTCAACTTGAAATGTTGTCATCAAAGTTTCAGGTAATCGATTCTCATTGCATGTTGTGCCATAAGGATCCAGCCAGTTTCGTAACTTTATGCTTCCATTTTTCAGTGTATTTTTACTCTTCAAACTTGCGGATTCTAACCCCAGTAATTAGGTTGAAAGGTAATGGGCAGGGTCCACTAGCAATCTCCTGTTGCTATCGTATCTGTATTGGAACGCAAATTCTCCCAAAATTTCAAAGAGAATTTCTTTGAGATATAACGGCGTGGACACCCGAAGCGAGACAAGCGCGACAGCGGTATAAGCTAGCTGCACAGATGCTCACACGGCGCCCGGGTTGCCATACTTAGCGCGACATTTTTCGGGTTTGATGCGTATGACGCGTGGTATGTGTCTGATGTTTGGCGTGCTTATTATCTTTGCTAACTAAATATTTCTTCCAGTAAGCGAACTAAACCTATGATGGGTCTCTTCATAGATCAATTTTAAATCTCTTACATAAAGACGGGGGGGGGGGGGACTAAATTCGCCACGATAGGAAAGCTGCCCTGGAGGTGATGGGATAAGGAAATAAATAAATTGGCGTTGAAGGCTCGAATTTGCAGGATTCAGATAAGAGTCGATTGCGATCTTGCGAATCTGCGAACCCTGAAAATTAAGGTTTGAATTCGAAAAGCCACTGGCCAATCCTGAAACACGTCACTTGAATATGCAGTGAAGTGCATTGAAACATGCCTTAAGGCTCAAACTCGAACATGTGGAAGCCCAGCCTAGCGAGTGTAAGATGGCTAACGGGGTCAGCGCCTGCCGGATTGAACCCATACCCATGTGTCAAAGCTTTCCCATGCAAAGGTTACATGCCCGATGGCTTACTGGCTTGCTTATAAGCCAGGTATCCATGATGTACACAAAGTGATATTTAGGGGGAAGGGTGCGGCACCATCCCTACCTTGTCATATACTTTGCCATGAACTTTTTCAGTACGTATAGTAGCTCACACTAATAGCTTACTATAGGAATTACAATACAAAGGTTGGACAGTGAGCGACGCATTTAATCTATTTCCACGATTTGAAGGGATGCAGGGGTTATAAAGCAGGTACTGCAAAACAATTCCAAAGGTGAGCGGGTTACTGGATTAACGTTCCGTCAACGTCCTTAACGAGTTAACGGTTAAACATAAACTTGCTTAACCTACTGGGTTAGCTTTGCCCTCCCCTGACGTTGCCGCAGTGGGTACTATTTGCAATGGGTAATCTGCCCGCCCCCGTGGTGTCTTGCTGTCACCAGACGCTGATCCTCGTGTTATCGCGGTCGGTTGTCTTACTGTTACCAGGCGCTGATCCTCTCGTTACCGTGGTTGGTTGCCTTGCTGTTACCAGGCGCCGATCTTCCCGTTACCGTGGTCGTTTACCGTCCCCAGGAGCCGGACTCGTACGGCTCGATGCTGGAGCTGAGCTGGCGCGGCAGCAAGCCGCTGACGCTGGCTGACGGCGGCTCGCGCAAGTTCCTGCAGGACGGGGACGAGGTCATCATGCGGGGTGAGTCGCCGCGCCGTCCGCCGTCCGTGTCCGGCCGGGTTGGGCGCCGCACGCCTGCCCGTGGCGGTGCTCACCGGTCGCCGTGTGGCCCGTGACCTGTCGCTGCCCCGTGCAGCGGGGGACGGCTGGCGCCCGGACGGAGCGCCGGAGAGGACAGTGCGGCCGGGCCCGGGGGCAGCGGCCATGCCGGGCTCAGCAGCACCTGGCGCCGTCTGGGCGACATCTGGTGCCCTTAGCTCGATTTCCCGGTAGTAGGTGGTGTGACTGACAATTGGCATACAGTGGACACCAGACTGCATCCCAGCCAACAATCAGTTGTTGCCCGCTAAGCGCCTGGTGGGCACTCCAGCGACACCTAGCACTGCGTTATGCTCATCCGGCCGGCACCCGGCCGGCATCCGATCGGCACCCGGTCCGGACCGGTCGGCACCCGGCCGGCATGCGGTCGGCACCCGGTCCGGGCCGGTCGGCACTCAGTCGGCACCTGATCAACGGTTCCGCTGGGTTACCTTTGGCGCTGGCTGTCGCCGCCTCCGGCGCACCTGGCGAACGGGGGTGGAGGTGACTGGGTCGGCCTCAGCCCGATCGTGGGACGATATCGGCCGGCAGCGGGCGGCGATAAGGCCCGGTCGGTCGTGCCGGCTGACGGCGGTCGGCATAGGACGTGCCGCGCCGCGCCGGCGACGCCGGCTCGCTCCCACTCTCGGCGGTGACGCTGACTGGGGCCTCTACAGAGCAAGCCACGTGTGATTCGGACCGCAGTGGCGGCGGCCGGCGTCGTGGTGGTGGGACCAGTCGTTCATCGTCCCAGTGTCGTCATGGTGGTCTGGTGTGATCTGGCGTGGCCACATCTGGTCTAGTGTGGTCTACTCAGGTTTGGTGTGGTCTGGTTTGGCTGGTCTGGTGTGGTCTGGTTAGATGTAATGTCTGACCTGTGCTGCCTGGCCGGACCTGGTGAGTGAGATGCTCGAGGCTCGTCGAAGCTGGCGCGAGTCGTCAAACCTTCGGGCCGCGGCGGTCGGACTCCACCTTCAGTGCGGCGAGCCCCGGCTGCCGCCGTCTGACGCAAAGGGTCGTGCGCGGTCCCATCCGTGCCAGGGATGACCCTGTCGGCTGATGAACGACTACCGCGGCGACGAGTTTTGGCCGGCGACTGGCGGTCGAGCCGCACCTGGCCGGCTGTGGGCGACCCGACTCCTGGCCCTGAGAGGGGCGCCGAAGCGGCAGGGGCGAGGGGCCTTGGGGCGAGCGTGGGGCCTTCGTGCCGTGTAGCCGGGAGTCTGCCGCAGGTGACGAACTGCGGACCAGATGCACGGTCCTCGCCAGTCGCGGCAGTGTAGCCGGGAATCTGCCGCAGGCGACAGACGGCGGACCAGACACACGGGCAGCGGGCAGTGTAGCTGGCTCGGGCAGCGTGGGACAATTTGGGTGGTCCGTGGTGATGCAGCGCGGAATGTGCTGGAGCAAACAATGCAACACAGCGGGGCGGTGGCTCTGCGCATGATCTGTGACTTTTAATCGACAGTATCTGCCCGGTTGGCTTGCCAGATCCGGTCAAGCGACGGTGTCAGCGAAGCTATTCGAGGCTGTGTATAACAGGCCGGACTGCAGTCGCCTAAACCGAAAGGTCTCATTGACTTGTGCCAAACGCATGACGAAAGGAACTCACTGACGGGCGTCAGTATTCAAACCCAATAACTAGTAAAACAATTTAAAACGCACAATACTTTACAGGCGCTGCACAAATCACGTCGCGTGGCGGTGTTTGAGTAGTTAGCTGAGACCAAGGAAGGGATGTGCAGTGGTGCTAACATGTTCAAGCCCGCGCTATCTTGTGTTGTTGAAATTTATACTTTGTAGTTCAAAGTGTACTTTGCTCCATTTCCGCGTGGTCAAAGGGAATGTTCCACATTTGATGTTGAAACTACCATCAGATATGGCGAAATAAACTTACTTATTACTACTGGCATACTTTTAAGTGGAAAAGACCGCTTTACACAAGGGTAGTTTTTAGTAAATATGTTCCTCAATACGTCATTGTTTGATTGCGTCACCGTACCATGCACAACATTGATTGAAAGCCAATTGGCGGCCATTATATCCGGAAATTGTGCTCACGAGCGCGAGATATGAACGACTCGACAATTTTATGCAGTTAAATTTTTCTTGGCATGGATCACTCCATGACCATGCAAGATTTGAACGACGTTATTATGGCGTCGTGGACGCCTGGGTGACCTTGAAAAAGTCTGCGTGAAATGGTCCGTCGTCTTCGTGGGTGTGTAGCTCAGAAACTAGGGGGTTCAGGTCGTGAGATTGGCAAGTCTGTGAACTGCACCGAATGATCTTTTTGATCGCTGTTTCAGGTCAAAACCCATATACAAATGTGGAATCCTCCTATCAACGTAGCCTCTGTGGCTGGGCGCGAAGTTTTCGATTCGATCTCGCTCAGCATTAATATGAAAATTGACATGTAGGCTCCAAGCCCACAGGCCCACAGAGGTGGGGAAAAAGAGCACAAATGTGGTACCTGCGGGCAGTATCTGAAGTTTGGTTTTGGCTCTTGGGGGAGAGAACAAAAATCGTAAAATCACGGCTTGTAGTGAGAACAAAATAACCCAGGTGAATTTGCATTGTGTTCACCGCTGGTACTGAAGGACATTTTTTTTGTCAGCAGATGACAGTAAACACCGTGCTCTAACTGGTCTCAGTAATTGCCAAAGATCATTAGAGACTGGCTGCTTGCAATTCTTGAATTATCTAGCTTCGTAAGAAAGTGTTTTCTTCCCAAGTCTACACTCACACCTACTGTGTTTTTGAATATATGGAGCTGATAGAAAGCTGTTGATATTGACAATCATATTGTACAGGCGTGAATCCCAATTAAGGCCGATAGAAACCAATGGTTAAAATGTTGTGCACCTGTTAAACAATTCCCTACAGCACATTACGACAAATTTAAGATTGAAATGTCATGCAGATCACAATAATGTAAATAGGAGCATCTGTGGCACAATAGTTAGTGCAGCTACGCTCTAGCCAAGGTGCAATCTTTACCACCTAAGGGAAAAATTCTGGGGCAATGTGATACCCGTTTAGACTTTCGCTGACCCAGATATACTTCATTTTGGACCCGGGGTGTAGTGTCGTATTCAATTGGATGGAATGCTTTACGTTGTCCCTTCCGCAACTTTGAGAAGAAACTTGGTCAAAATCATGGAGAACATGGTTTGCATCATTTGTGGGGATTAGGATTTCCCTGCTCACCCGCTGCACAAAGTTATGTACAAAACTACACCATCTGGGACATTAGGCTGCTGCGTGATCGGGGCTGGGAGGTCAGTGCAGCAGGGACGGAGGAGTTATTTCCTGCTCATAGAGCAAGCTAGCCGTACAGTGTTAGCATCGCTACACTTACTCACCGACGTTGAGTCTGATACAATACTTTTCCCAGTGTATGTATGACACTGAGCTGGATTTAGATATTGCCTCCATCTGTACCATCAACCAGTCGCGTCATCACCCCGCAAGCGGCTTCTCTAAAAAAAACCTCGGAAGGCTACATAAACGGCGAACACGCCATAGCAGTGCTTGTTAGGACTTGAATGCTTTTTGAAAATTATTTATTGGCAAACGCTGCTCAAATAAAAGTTAGATCTCAAAAACTTAGACGAATTATATAAACAAAACCAAAAGTTCTGCTCAACGGAGAACAAGAGACCCTGCTTCAGCTCTATGCTCAGATCATAATTATGTGGCGACGCTCTGTAGATCGATAGGAAAAATCCGTGCTTTTATTTAACGGCCCTATTATGCGTTTTCAAGTATTCAGCTCGGATTTTTTGGTGGAGAATGTGCCTCCTCTCCGGCGCTAAATCCCCCCCCCCCCTCCCCCCGAGAGATTGATCTGTGATCTGATCCAAACCCCCCAAGGAGAGATTCGCGGAGCCTTGGATTTCCGCGTGCCCAAGCGAGTGTTTGGAATGGTGTTTGACGTCACAATTATACTTTCTATCCAATCTCTATTTTTGATAGCCTCAAATGCAGATTTAATCAGGGTGCTATTTGGAATGGATGGAAATAATTTTTTAATCAACATATGACCAATTCACGTTATTTTTAGGCATACATGTTAGTGTGACGTCATGTCCTTTCGTATCAATTTGTATTCTATTACAATGATTTCCGCGTGCAACCCTAAAACGTGGAATCGTGACGTATACGAGATGTTCCCTGTTCTCTCGCTTCTCCCCGGCCCGACAAGAAACGCTGTTGTTTTGAGTGCGGTCCCGGGCCCGGCGTCTGAGCGCGACGGTGTCGTTAGGTGGACGGAGGTGGGTTAATCCTGTGCTGGTGAGCAGCAACGGACCTGGGCACCGAGTGCATTGAAAAGAGAGATTCTGTGCCATATGGTAGCAAGATTCGGCCGCAGCCCGCCAGCAGTATCATTCATTTGGTCGTGTGAGCGTGGCACGCGATGTTGTCGAAGTTTCAGGAGCAGCTTGCCTTCAGCTCACGTTCGTCACAGGGAACAATTTTTTAATATTTTTTCCAGTGTATTTTTGCGGAGAACAAAATGTCTTGGGGCTAAAAACACCAAGGAACACCCAAATTTCAGACGCTGTCTGCAGGCCGTGACAGCTCACGATGTCAATATCTGCTGAGGGCCGTCGTCTACTGTTACAGACTACAAGTACCACTTTCGAGCTGCCTTACCGTAATCAAATAACCGTAGTAAGATGGCCCTAATAAAAGCCCTCTGACTGGCATTTCAGTTAAAGTCCAGCGGGACCGTGATCTTAAGTCCCAAAGGGCCCGCAGGCCTCTCTTCGGGCCTCCTCAAACAAAGCCCGTGACAGACTTGGGGTCATTAGCCGCGACATGACCTTCTGTTGCGCACTGTGGGCCTCTCACTTACACAAGGGCCGCTACCGCTGTTTCAGGGATCCACACCAATGCAAAGCGGGGCCGGCGGTCTTCCTCTTGCCTGGGAAATGTGTCCCCAGGGTTCAGACTTCGGGCCCTTATGCCCTCCAACAGGGCCTTTGATGGGTGGTTCCGTCGGGCCCCCGAGCCCCTCTGCAGGCCTCATTGAACACTGTCCTTGGTCGGCTGGGGCCCCTTGCGAGCACGGGGCCGTCTTTTACGCGCTGTGGGCCCCTGGCAGGTGCAGGGGTCCCGAACAGTCAATTAACTGGCTCTGGCTTTGTAGCTGTTTTGGAAGCGACCCATACTCAGACCCATGCCGATATGGAGCGCACTGTGCGGTACTGGTGGTTCTTAGCTTCTTACACACACAGCTTCTTAGGGTGTCCCTGATCGGCGCAAAGGGCCCGCTGACGGTCATTTGAGGGCCCGTCCTGCAGGCTGGATAAGACTCCCTGAATAATACTCCGACCAGCCATTCGTGCCCCCAGACCCTCCAATCGAGCCCTTGATCGTCGGACCCGGTGAGCCCTCCAGCCTCTTCGGACCTCCTCGTACATCGCCTCTGGCCGACTTGGGCCTTTTGCCGGCACAGGGCCGTTGGCGATATATGGTCCCGACCAATGCAAATCACTGACTCCGACTTTGGCTACAAGTCCCGGCTAAATGGGTCCTCAGAACCATGCCGCCACGAGGCTGGCTGTGCGTTGCTGGTAGTGTCTGACCGACATATTGGCCGTTATTGACTAATTGGGTTCTGACCATCGTGGCATTGGAGTGCCTTTTCCTTTTGTTTCATATCCTACTGACGCCATAAAAACCATGCGATAAATGGTGCAGAGACCTAGTTCGCCCGGCAATGACCCCATCATCAATTGGCACGTGTATGTACCAGCCACAAACAGCCACACTTCCTTGAGAAGACACCGCAATTATAAACAGCACTTCCGGTGAGGGTAGGCGGTCCCGAGACGGACGCTGATATTACCGATATAAGGCAGTATATGACCGGATTTTCAATATGAACACCATGATCGTCCGAAACAATATTCTTGAAACAACATGTCCAGTTTTCAAGAAGGTCGTATGATTGGAACCCTTTTTTGATACCTAAAAAGTAAGTGACGTGTACTTAGAGAGTACCGGTCGCTCCGCACACATCTGGGGAAACACGACCCGCGGAAATACCAACTATGGTGTCCGACCAGGTGCAAACTGGTAACGCAAATTGATAGAACACAAGGTCGCAAGACAACACACATCTCAGAATATTAGAATCGGTGCGCATCCGTAATATTCGTCTTTGGCTAAGTACACACACGTCAGCATGAGCCGCCCAATCGATTTGTTCGAGCCGTTCATCGACGTCATCGATTTGAGGAGTGTCGTTCAGGAACTAAGTTAAGAACTGTTGTGCTGCTTATTACATCGAGCACGGGTGCCCTTTGGCGAGTCACTCTTTGGCCTTACATGCGTAACGGGACATGGGGGCCCTCCAGCGTAGCATTACGTGGTCCGAGAAATGCTGAGCGTAGTGCCGTGCACCGGGTGCTGGCTTGTGGGAGATTAATTGATCGCTCTGATGTCCGTAGTCCGTATATCGCGACTCTGTTGCTCGGCGCGGGTCACCAAGGCCTTTCGGCTCGGCCTCCTGCGATCCGGGCAGCTCTCAGCGTGTACCGTGTATCGGCTGTTGGGATTCGGCAGGCGTGCGGAAGTGACTTGCCCGTGGTGAGACACTTTCGAGCCCTTTGCTGGGCACGAGTTGTTGGGACCTTTTGGTCTAGCTGCCCGTGCCTCAAGGAGCCCTAACGTGACCCGGCATGGGGCATCATTATGCACGGTTTGAATGACTGATGGATGTTTTCTCTGCGTTGGCATGGTCTTCAGAGGTTCAGAACTATGATCTTTCACGCTCATTGTTTGTGTAGCTGTATGTATGTATATATATATATATATATATATATATATATATATATATATATATATATCCATATATATATATATATCCATATATATATATCCATATATATATATAAGTTAAAAACATTTTGTCCGTTCGATATTTGATTATTTAATCGAATGTCTTACGGACAAAATGAAGCCGGACCGTCCCGACTTCAGTTGGCTCGCCGGTGGACGCCGCCGTATGTCGGCCCGTGCCGCGGCGGCTCTCACTGCAGTGTCGTCGGCGACGGCCCGCCGCCGGCCATTGTCGGGCCGTCCGTCTCCCAGACCTCGGAATATCGCAGCCGGCACCGCCGTCGCTGGTGGTCCGGTGGGAGCACCCCATGCGGCGGCGGCAACGGGAGCTGCGTGCCCAATGGGATGGGGCAGACGTCCCAGGTCCATTTGGTTCACGTACAGTGCTTGATTGATGTCCAAAGGCTCCCCGAGCTCACCACTGTGGTCACTTATGTGCTCGGGGAAGGACAAACTTTGTTGGCCTCTGATGCTGACCAGCCGTATGTTGTCATTAGCGCATTTGTGCTGCGCGCCACGACATTAGCGGCTTCTCGCGCCACCGCCGTGCGTGCGGATAGTGTCTATCTGTGGCTGGGCGGCCAGTCGGGAGGCGACGGATCGGGCGCCGGCTCCCGGAGGAGGCGGGGCGGCGGCGGCCTGTACCGACCCAGGGCGGGCCCGGCCATCAGTCGGCTGTTGTGTCGGCACCGGCTGACGCAGGCACGGCTCCGTCGGGCGACGGCGGTGGCGCGCCGCCCCGCGTCACGTTCGGCCTGCCACGGGCTCAGCGGCGTCCCCCGGGTCGGTTGTGACCTGAGCGCCGACCCCGGGTCACGCGCCGGACGTGCACCCGTCCGAGCCGTGTCGTCGCTGACCCAGTTGCCGCTCCGGACCGGGCGGGCGGGCCTGTGCCGCAGACCGCGGGGTGCGGCAGTCGGCCCACGCGTGCCTCGCCAGCCCGTGATGCATTGCGTTGTTGTCGCGCCGTGGCCGGCACCTGCCACCGGCTCAGATTGTTTTGCAGCCAGCTGCGGGGGGTGGTGACCAGACAGGTGCGGCGACCCGTCTTTATATGAAGGCTGGTGCACCACTGCTGGCCCCTTCCGGCTGCGGGACGCGCTTTGCGCTCTTCCCAGGGCCCATTCAGTGCTGTCCCAGGCGTGCACAGTCGTGCGCATTGACATCAAGGCATGCGATGATTTCAAAGAGACAAAGGCATGAAGTTCAATTTTGAGAACTGGCTGAGCGTGGTGGGCTCTACAGTATTGGTCGCAGTGCTGCCATACCTCTAGAGCGTAGAGCGTTCCATGCTGTTAAGCTGCCACCGTGGAGATAGAAAAGAGAATTGTTGGCCTTATTTCTTGACCGGTTAAATCAGCTATACACCTAAGCCAATGTTAGGTGTGGTTTAGCGGGTTAAAGTGCCTCGGGTCGGATCTTTATCCCCTTTTGACCGGACATATTTGTTTCCAAATGAAGGTACAGGTGAAGATATCCCTTGTCGGACTTTTTTCCTCTTTTCACCCGACACATTTATTTCCGAATTGGGGTGGTGCTGGGGTGGTTGCTGAGCGGTCGTTCTGCCCGTACCTTGCACGGGCGTCGCATCGAGCTGGTAACGAACAAGCGGTCGGACGGGAGGCCTGCCGGCGCCGCGTCAGAGGCAAGCGTTGCCGCTGGGCCTGGGACCGCCTCGCGGGCACCGTGGAGCGGGCGTCGCGATCAGCGTGGTGACCCGCGCGGGGACCGTCGTCGCCAGCTGGAGCGGCGCCCGTCCGCGGGGTGCCGGGCACAGGCCGTTAGGACGTGTGAATTGGAGACGGGCGTCCGCCGCCGCCAGCGCCGCTGATCGAGGGCGGGACGGGCTGGACAGAAGTCAGCCGTGTGGCGGCGGCGGCGGCGGCGGGCAGTGTGTGGGTTGAACCTCCGCCATGACACCGGCTCGGACTGTAAAGTTTGAACGGACGGGCCGGACCTGCCATCGGGCGCTGTATAAATGATCCCTCGGAGTGGTGGCGATGGCCGATGGCGGGACGCGCCCAACGGGAGGGCGCAGGTGGCAGATTCGCTGTACCGTCTTTGCAGGCTGAGAGCTGCTTTCGCTTGGTTACACCATGGTTGTTAACATTGGTTGGACCAGTGGCTCATGCGTCCTAAAGTGGGTGCTTTTGGTCAGTGAAGGCGATGTGTCACATCACCGAACTAGTAAGTTGAGCTTACGAACTCGAACCGCTGGCAGCCTGTGCCAGAACAGAGCTCTGTGCATCTGTCGAGCGGGCCCGGACACCGCTGATGTTCATCACTCACGCACTGCGCCTGATGTTGCGTGCTGTGCGCGTCCGACGATTACCTGGCTGCTATTGTTGACCTGTATTGTATTCTGTCTCGCAACGTCGGCTGTCCTAACGCCGATAGACAGCTCCACTGGGGATCTGTCACCATTCCTGGCCACGTCCCCATAGCAATCCCGCCGTAATGTGGGGCGCGGACTGCCGGACCGCCCTTGTCGTGCCAACGCCGCACTCGAACGGGCCCAGCTCGTCGTGTGATGCTCACCAGACAACCCACGTTTCCCACCCATTATTCGAGCCGTGTACAGTCGCAAGCAGGAGCGCTTACGCACGCGTATCCCCGCTAACTCTGTGCGTCGACTATGTGCTCGGCTGTCCGCGGATGTCCACCAGACTCTGGCTCGCTCTCGAGCCCCTGACGTGTCACCATTGTCAGATGTGGCGACGACTCTCGCACGCCCCGAACTCACGTGTCCCTCTGTTCCGTCAGGGTTCTGCGAGCGGGAGGGCGTGCGCGTCGGCTTCGGCGAGTGCCGGGGCGTCGTGCTGCCGGCCCGCGCGCAGTGACTTGACCCGGCCTGAGGTCACCGGACGCCGCCGGCGCGGCGCCTCCGGCAACTGAGCGCGGCTCGGCGCTCATAGCGGTGGTGGTGTAATGGCACCGTGTCCACAACCCGTGCTCGCCAGCGCCGCGGTCCGGCGCGGCCTTCATGCGGGCCGCAGTCGCGCGAACGCCATCTACCGGCGTCCTTGCGAGGCGTCAGTGTTGCGCCGAGCCAGCGATGGCGTAGTAGTCGAGGCTGCGGATGAAATAGGTGCAATACGCGATATTTCCTGTCAGCTGGCGTGCGCGGGACCAGCATGACCTGGTGCCAAACAAAGGGCTTCTGAGGTGGTGGCTGTGACATACACATCACAGGTCGTATGAGCTAACAATATCAGTGTGTTTGATGCAAGATCTCTAGCGCAGGCTGCGCCAGTATAATAAAATAACAACGTCTTCGTTTTGTAGTCTTGTCTCTGAAACAGCTGGATGCGCTCACAAAGTGAGGAATCTGATTAACTCGGGATCTGTGGCTCAACTGACAGTCAAAAGTCGACAGTCACGGAAAAAAGCTGTGGTTCTATAACGTATGCAAGTGGTAAGGACATTCGCGGCTTCATCGTTCGCCCACGCCTCCGCTTTGAAGCACGATCGTCCACAGGATCTCTTTCTGTCGGCGAGCTTTGGACTGGCAGGACTCACGCAGAGAAGTACGTACGTGACGCAGGGCCGGACTCGCACCGATTTTGACTGGACGCTTAACTGACGACTCGTGGGCTGTAATGTCACATGTGAGAGAACTCTTCAACCGTGACGCCATACACGGCCGCACCCGACGTGGCTGCGACGCCACACATGCCTGGCTCTCCACATTGCCGCGTAACCGGCTCCTCACCAAACCAGGAACTGTGTCATCTGGCGCGATACGTAACCAGGACCGCGTTCCATCTTAGCTATCGTGCTGCCAATAGTCGAAATCCTGTTTTATGATTGGTCGGGCGGCCATGATGGATTCGTGACGCGAAGGGTGTGACGTCACACTTGTCGACAACTGCGCTCGCAAAACGTTTTAACATCTTGGTAGTCGGCGGGGCGTCCATGAATATGGCGGCGCGCAGCGCAGGCGACATCATGTTAGCGCTTTGGCTATGTTAGTTATTGTGCGGGCTGCTAGGGATTAAGCGGGACAACATTTTTTTAAGCTAGCGACTTGATGATAGGTGACTGCTTTAAGCTCACAAACTTATTTTCTTCCCAATTTGATCTGCACAGGTGCGCGGCTAATGTAACGCTTTCCAGTAGTCAGAAGCTGGTATGAAACAGTCTAGCATTCGAGTGGGCGGGGGTTGTGTTTGTCTACCAATAACACAGTAGTTGAAATAAAACGCGACCCGAACTCCCGCTAAATATGACGTCACGCAATGCAACGTCACAGTGACATCACACGGACGCCCGTCGGTATTGGCGACCGAGACGTCGTCTAATGGTACGGCTTGTCGCCGCCGGGCGTCCGCGTGGAGTGGGACCATTAGACGGAGCCCAGTCGCCTTTTTTCGGGGCGGCGCACTGGACGCGTCGCCTAAAGGTGTGACTAATGCGTGCACTTGGCAGCCGGCGGCGGCGGCGCAAACTTCCGGCCTGACACGGGACAGCCGGCGGTGCCGCGAAACAGCGTCGGTGGTCCGCGGCAGTCGGGCGCGGCATGGTGCGGCGCAGCTAGTAAAGCACGGCACGCCCAGTATGACCGTCATACCGTCCCGTCATACGGTCATACCGCCATAGCCGTCGACGATCTGTGAAGAAGGGTGCTGCTGTCTTCTGCTGCGCAACCTTAAAATGTCATTCGCTAGACTCTCGCCTCTTCGTGGGTGTCGCACTCCTGCTTTACACGCACATCCCAGCCTCTGATTTTATTGCCAAGATACAACCAGACGCACGCGACTGATCTGCATTCACCGCGCCGACGGTGCGCGTACCGTAGCCGGGGGCGCGGCCGGCCGAGGGGAGGGGCCTCCGTCGCCTGCCCGCGGCCGTCCGTCAGCCGACCCGTCGGTCTGCATCAGATGCCGGCCGCCCGACGCCGACGCCCCGGGCGCAGGCCGCCGGCCGCCGACAAAGTGAAGCAGAAACAACGACAGATAGCGGCGCCGCCGGCCAGAAATGGCCGCCCGCGCCGGCTGCGCATCAAACACAGAACGGACCGCCAGCCAACGGTCAACGCAAGTCGAGAATGCGCGTCCAACAAAGCAAATTACTCACGCGCACGTACAGGGGGTTAGTTGCATATATACTGTCGTGATATAAGCGTTGTAACGGTTTATCACCTGTTCCGTGGGTGAACGCTGGGGCGCTGATGGATCGACGATCGCTGCAACGTATTTGTCCTTGTCAGGCTCGGCTCGTCACTATGTGGACCGCAACAAGCGGCGTAATTTGGGTCTCGCGAACTTCTAATTTGTTTGCCGTTCTTTACAATGGCCTAATCGCCTACGAAATTGTTGCATTCCATATGCCGTGCCTTTATTCAATGATCATATTCATAACCTGTCGAGCAACGGCACCCCAAATTATCTGCTCTACGGACTCGAAGGAAACTGTCGCACTGCCATATTAGGCCTACGGGTGAGACATTGGCGGTGGTATTCCTTCATAAGTCTTTCTTCGTGCACTGCGAACTTAAAATGCTCGAAGTGTCGATTATTGGCTTTATAAGTGACAACGCAATCATGTTAACAAGGGGCATACGCAGGTCGAACTTTTGACCACTTTCTTATAGTTGCTCAAAGCAAGGACCCACATCCCTCCGTTGTTCGGACGCGATTAAGTGTCGCACAGTTAACGGCTTGCTCCGTCATCAAACACAAATGAAGCGCCCAGGGGCCCCGGTGAGTTTCAGCATCCAGATCGAGAGCCAGGACTTGCGTGACACCCGACCGTATGGCGACCTGCGGCCACGACGGAGACCGTCTGTGGCCTGGACCGCAAGACATCCGCGTGCGTCGAGGGGTCGGGTGACCGGCTAGTGATGCGACGATCGGCGGCCGCAGGCGGCACCTCGTCTCCCAGTAGCCAGCACCGCTCCGCCCGCTGGCCCGGTGCACGTGCCGTTCCCACCAGCGGACGACGCTGACCTCGCCAGCGCCGCGGTCACTCGGCCTCCAGCGGTGCCTGGCGGCGGCCGCGCAGCCCGAGGAACGCGCCACTCGGCGACCGCTTCTCATCCGCCGCCTCCTCCAGCATGCCGCGCAGCGTCTCCAACGCCGTCGGGCCACTCTTCTTGCCGCGGAGCCCGGCGAAGCCGCTGGGGACCCGCCGGGGCCCTGTGCGCTTGCCGCGGAGACCGCTAAATCCGGACGGCACCTTCTTTCCCCTCAGGCCGGTGAAGCCGGAGGGTGCGCGGTCGGCGCGCTCGTACAGGTCGCCGTACAGCTCGCTGAGCCGCAGCAGGCGCGAGATGGGGTAGGAGAGGCGCCGCTGCCGCGTCTCCAGCGCCACCTCGTGGGCCAGCCGCGGTGCGTCGCGCTTGCCGCGCATGCCCAGGAAGCCGATGCGAGGCGGCCGTTGGTGTGGCGTCTTTAGTGCCACGGCCACGGCCAGCAGACACGCTGTCAGGCCAGCCAGGTGACAGATGCTGCAAGGGAGGACAAGACTAACGGTCACGGCCAGCAGACACGCTGTCAGGCCAGCCAGGTGAGAGATACTGCAACAGAGGACAAGGCCAACGGCCACAATCATCAGACACGCTGTCAGGCCAGCCAGGTGAGAGATACTGCAACAGAGGACAAGGCCAACGGCCACGGCCAGCAGACACGCTGTCAGGCCAGCCAGCTAACAAATGCTGCAACAGGGGACACAGTTGGCTGCCAAAGCTAGCAGACAGGCTGTCAGGCAAACCAGCTGACAGATGCTGCAACAAGGACAAGGCTATCAAAGCAAGGCTATACCTCTACGACCAAGGCCAGCAGACACGCTGTCAGGCCAGCCAGTTGGCAGCTGCTGCAACAGAGCACAAGGGTAACGGCTACGACCGGCCACGATGGGCCGTTAGACCGGCCAACTAACGAATGCTGCAGAGGGGACACAGTTGTCTGCCAAAGCTAGCGCAGACAGGCTGTCAGGCAGGCCAGCTGACAGATGCTGTAACAAGGAACACTGGTAACTGCTGCGGCCAGCAGACAAGCTGTCACGCCAATCAGCTACAGAGCACGCAAGTGCCAGCCATGACAGGGCGACCCACCAGCTGAATAATCAATGATACGATATACGAGCGACAGATCAGACTGATCCCTGATAAACGAAGCGGCGGAGGCCCTCAGAGGCACGATGACATTGTGTTGAATGGCTCGGAAAAAGTGCTGGCGGTTAGGTTTCACGTAGAATGGCCATATATCATCCTTTTGTCCTTTCTATAAATTTTGGTTTCCAAATCAACTGAACGCTCCGGCAGATACTGCACATTTCGGGTGCAATTCGCGTTGTTTTTAGCTGCGATGGCTGTTCGATGTTGGGTCTGGATAACCAATTGTATTTCCAGCTGTGCAATACCTGAACTCATTTCGGCGCTCGAATGGCGTTCTACTCGCGTGTCAACACGGCGGTCAATGGCCGTCGGCAATGCTCTGCGCGCCTCCACCTGTGCTGGCCGGCCTGGTTAATCGAGGGCAGTTAAACATTATTGATAAAGCCTGCTTGAGCCACTGTGGTGGGAACGTAAACGGACTAGACTCCTTAAAGTAAGTTTCTTCCGGAGCAGGTATCACTGTTAGATTGATGATATACCTCTACAGAAAGTGCATGCGCCATGGCATATCCCCTTCGTTCCAGAATTTATCTCGCGACCGCTTTGAGCCTACGTGGCTTAAAACAATTGCTTTATTCTCACAGTCCCTAAAAACAAAAGGCCCCATTTAAGCGCAAAACGTCACCTTTTTTCTTATCATTTTGTGCACAACTTCCTTATGCTCGCGTAATTAAAGGCTTAGCTTAGGAAAAAAACAGAACATCAACACAACTATATTGGGTTTTGTCGAATCGCACGACTTCCAAGTCAATTCTCACACCCCTTGCTTTGCTCTTTTTTTGCCTCTCCAATGAAGACGATGTCTCGAAAAAACGCATCTTCTAGCAGTTAGCGTTAATGCACCACGTCCAGATAAGGAGACATGGCGCCATCTGCGAATGTGCGTCTTCGCCAGACTAGCCGCCCTCAGTCGCGGGATTGGATGAACAGTTTGGCGTTTCTCTGATGGATTGTAAGCGTGTACATACCTGTGGCGGCAAACGTTCTCGCCCGACGCGCGATGCGCCGGAGCATCCCACCCAGCTGCCCAGGGCAGATTCAGCGATGAGCAAGGGGTGGGGCTGCTGGATTATGCCATCACGCATTAATAAATGAGCCAAGTAAATATGATCTTACTTCAAATGTTTCTGCAGTGTTTGCTGCCCCAGCTTTGCTCCGGTGTTCCCTGCCAGTTGTGTGACAGGTCAAAATCGGTTTGAAGCTTTGCAAAACTGCGGTTCGGCAGCGCACCTAATATCGAGCCTTCGTATCACCAGCCGATTCGGACAAATGTAGCAGCAGATGCCGCTTGGAATGCCCGCGGGCGCCTGGGCTGCGTTAAGTCTCTCGGTAGCCCTGGTATCTCAAAATCTGACCATGGCATTGTAAATGTTCAAAAGGTAATCAACAACCAAAGTCAGTCTCGCTCAAGAATCGTTGAGCTGACAGCCGTCATCCGGCTGATGATTTCACCAGGTCACACAAAACACCTAAGCGATCACCAAAACCTTCGAGTGACTTCAAAGCCGACTGCATCCTTCCAAAGGAAAAATCGCCGTGGAAGCCTTCACCAATGACGCCACAATTCAGTTACCTAACCCAACGTCAAACTTTGTTTTGCCTAAGTATACGTCAAATAAACATCTGTGACGTCCTACAAGTTTGGTGTACGTGTGTAGTACGGTTGGGAAGCATTTCTGAAACTTGGACCGTGGTTATTTTTACGCTTCTAGGCGGTCACGGGTAAAAAGTCTGAGCCTTCCGGCGTCACCCAACAAATACACTGGAAGACCACCACATGGCGGTTAGCGGCTTCAGGCAAGTGAGAATGGTTGGGCGATTTTCAGACGCCATGCTGAAACTGCGTACATGTTTGCTGTTCAGTAGTGGGTTAGGAAGCACCACATGCCTTGAGACGCTGGACAACAGAACACGTGAAGCCATCATGCACGCCGTTGACATGATAGAGCTGAGGTGAGTGAGCAAAGATGTTTCCCTGCAGGACAACCAAGAGGAGCAACAGCCCAAATCACGCCGCACGCTTTGCCACCCCCATCACTATCACATACTATGCATGAGTCATTTAGAGGGCATTAGCCGTCAACAGTGGCGCAGCCAGGGACCTTTGGGACCATCTCTTCCCCACCCTGGAGGTGGTTGTAGCCCTCTGAGACCAGATGACATCTTGGCAGTTGAATATGCCTGTCAGGCTTCTAAGAGAGGAAAAGCGGGTTTCAAGGCATATAAATAAAATACAAGGGCTAAAAATTCCCCTGAATCCAAACACAGGTCCACTAGGAAACAAAGAAAGGGCTTGCTTGGCTGGAAGGGCTCCCTTTGATCCAAATTTACCCCCTTCCTTGGCACATTCCTGGCCACGCCGCTGGCATCCCAACAGTCGGCAAACAGCGCATCCATCGCGAGCGGTTCATGCGCGAACAAGCGACACTAATCCTGTGCCCGGGATTACCCGGGCACAACAGCGACAGCATCTGGCTTAATCCCGGGCACAACAGCGACAGTATCTGGCTTAATCCCGGGCACAACAGCGACAACATCTGGCTTAATCCCGGGCACAACAGCGACAGCACCTGGCTTAATCCCGGGCACAACAGCGACAGCATCTGGCTTAATCCCGGGCACAACAGCGACAGCATCTGGCTTAATCCCGGGCACAACAGCGACAGTATCTGGCTTAATCCCGGGCACAACAGCGACAGCGTCGGGCTTAATCCCGGGCACAACAGCGACAGCATCTGGCTTAATCCCGGGAACAACAGCGACAGCGTCTGGCTTAATCCCGGGCACAACAGCGACAGCATCTGGCTTAATCCCGGGCACAACAGCGACAGTATCTAGCTTAATCCCGAGCACAACAGCGACAGCATCTGACTTAATCCCGGGAACAACAGCGACAGCATCTGGCTTAATCCCGGGAACAACAGCGACAGCATCTGGCTTAATCCCAGGCACAACAGCGACAGCATCTGGCTTAATCCCGGGAACAACAGCGACAGCATCTGGCTTAATCCCGGGTGCTGTCCCTCGCAGAGAATACCACGAGGGCACTTATGGTCGAGACCGCACCTCGGGACGTGAGGTTTCAGTCGTGTAAAAAGGTCACCAGCTCGCGCTGAGTCCCCAGAAGTTTTGCTCTTTTCAGTAGGCCGCTTCTGAACTTGGCTGGCCCGCCAACTGACGTTTCACTTCTCTGGATATATATTGGTGTTAATTGACCAGTTCAGAAGCATCCCATCCGCCGAAGTCTGGGTTCATTGATTGGACAGCTGCTTGGCGCCCGCTCGGTGTCGCTTGGTTACAACTTGGACGGGTTTTAATTGTATATTTTGTAAGTGGCCAAACCAAGCCACCCGGTGCGGCTTGGTTAAAAGTTGCACCGTTTTTTTGTTTGCAGAAGGCTTTGTTAGCGTCTCTTACATAAACATTTAAGTTGAAATCTTGTTCGGATGCGGTCTCGTTTCAGGCTCGCACAATGCACTCGCAAAAATTTTGATCTCTTCGTAATAAGGCATTCCTTATGCGTTTCTGATGGTCTGCGGCTTTGATACCTTGAAGTTTTTTTTTTTTAGCTCGTCAGTATTAAATAAAAGATAGAGGGCATGCAAAATGTTGCAAATAGGCGATTTTTCGCACGAGTGATCCTATACAAGCTGCTTAGCGTTGTGCAGAGGCTTTCACAATGAAGAAACAATAGTCATGTTGAAAGTGCCCAAAGAAAAGATGCAGGGTAATCACAGCTAAGGCTGGTGTTTTCTTAAACATATATTCATTCTGCTGTCATGCCTTCAGTGACCATAGGACCCAACAACGTGACCGTGGTCAACAAAGTGACCATAGGACCCAACAACGTGACCGTGGTCAACAAAGTGACCATAGGACCCAACAACATGAATATGTCATAATAACCGGTGCCATACTGGGTGAAAAATACAGACGGCCCCTGCCTTCATCTGACGCAGTGACCGTAACGAGGTGATGGCTCAGGAGCCAGCGCGTTGGACCCTCGCGTGAGTCGCTTACACAGATGTGTGCTTATTAACAATTCTTGAAGGAAAATACCTGTACGTCTCTGTACATGGCGTCATTGATTAACTCAAAGTGAACTATCTTTTCAGGAGGTGTGCGTATTCTAACACGTTTTTGGCGCAGTGTGCTCTAAAAGTCGCCGATATTGAACGGGAATCGCATTGTACGAATATTGATGCCTTGTATGCAGATAGCACATGTTTTCAAATTACACCTACCAATAGTCCTAAGTCATCAGCACTGACAGAGAAGATAATACATTTCGCCTCAGTGCACAGATAAATGAAAACAGAGATACAAAAATG